GATGTGAATTGGGGACCTCTGTCTGTTACGATATCTTCGGGTAGTCCATAATGATGAAAGACAAATTCGCATTGCAGTTCGGCTGTCTCTAGGGCTGTGGGTAGCTTGGGTATGGCTTTGAGTCTGCAAGCCTTTGAAAAATCGGTCAACGACAGTAAGTATAGTGGTGTTTCCTTGACTGGGGCAGATCAGTAATGAAGTCGATGGCTATATGTGACCAGGGACGACGTGGAACTTCTAGGGGTTGCAGTAGACCGGCGGGACGGTGACGGGAGTGCTTAGCCATTTGACAAGGGGAGCAGTTGTTGATGAACTTGATTACATCTTTGGTTTGCGAGGACCACCAATAACGGTTCTGAATGAGTTGGATAGTTGCTGTACTGCCTGGATGACTGGAGCTGGGGCTGCTGTGAACTTTCGTGATAAGTTTTTCTCATAACAATAGGGGGACAAATATATTGTTCTCAGGGCATGCCTGCGGAGTGGGGTTCTGATCAGATACTTGGAAGATTTCAGTATGGATATCCCATTGAATGGGGGCTAATATCAGGGATTCTTTTAAGATGGGCTCAACATCATCAGCCAATGCTTCTTCAAACAAATGAGATAAAGGCGTCAACTTTGACATTTTTGGATCCGGGAATGCAAGTAACCTTGAAGTCGAAACGCGAAGAATAAAGCCCACCTTGCTTGTCTTGGGTTCAATCTTTTGCATGACCGGATGTACTCAAGGTTCTTGTGGTCTGTAATGACAGTGAATGGGTGTTTGGCGCCCTCTAGCCAATGTCTCCACTCCTCCAATGCTGCCTTCATGGCTTGAAGCTCCCGGTTGCCAACGTCGTAGTTTCTCTCAGCTGGGTTGAGTTTGCGAGAGTAAAAAGCACAGGGATGGAGCTTGTTGGTTGCCTGGGATCTCTGGGAGAATATAGACCCGATACCCGTGTTGGAGGCATCTATCTCTACCACAAACGTTTGATTGGGATCAGGGTGACACAGGATGGGTGCGGTTTAGAAGGGAGACTTGAGCTGGTTGAATGAACGGGTGGCTTCCTGACTCCAGTTCAGACGGGCATTTTTGGCTTTCACCATGGCTGTGAGGGGAGCAGCTACTGTACTGAATTTTCTGATGAACCTTCGATAGAAGTTATCGAAGCCAAGGAAATGTTAGAGTTGCCAGATGGTTTCGGGTTTGGGCCACTGAGTGACTGAATCGACCTTCTGTTGATCCATGGCAACGCCCTCGGGACTGATTATGTAACCCAGAAATGATATACATATGCTTTGGCATACAATTGGTTTTGAATCAGGCGTTTTAGGACTGCTCTGACATGTTGAATATGTTCAGGTAAGGAATTGGAATAGATGAGTATGTCGTCAATGTAAACTATGAACCACTGATTGAGCATGTCTCTGAATATCTCATTTATGAAGGCTTGGAAAACGGAAGGACTGTTTGCTAGGCCGAAGGGCATAACTAAGTATTCATAGTGGCCATTTACAGTACGCCCTGTCTGATGCGAACAAGGTTGTAGGCACTGCGGAGGTCCAATTTCGTGAAATACTGTGCTGAGCGTAACTGTTCAAGGGCAGCTGGGACTAATGGCAAGGGGTAGCGGTACTTGACAGTGATTTCATTCAGTCCTCTGTAATCAATGCACGGGCGTAGACTCCAGTCCTTCTTTTTGACAAAGAAAAGCCAGCTGAAGCAGGGGATGTGGATGGTAGAATAAAGCCCTTCTCCAACACCTCCGAAATGTAAGTATTCATGCTTTCGGTCTTCGGATGAGAGAGAGGAAAGATCCTACCACGGGGGGCACTGTACCTGGTAGCAACTCAATAGCACAATCATACTCACGATGGGGAGGGAGTTTAGTGGCTTTCTGCTTGTTAAAGCTTCAATGAGATCTTGGTAGACTTCAGGGATTTGACTCAAATCAGGATCGTCAGAATAGGCAGAGATAGTGTTAATCTGGACAGGAATGACAGACTGTAGACAGTGGTTAAGGCAATTAGTACTCCATTTTACGATCTCACCAGTACTCCAGGAGATTTGGGGATCATGAGTCTGTAACCAGGGTAACCCGAGGATAATGGTGTGCTGAGGGGAGTTAATCACTAGGAAGGAGAGTTCTTCTTCATGGAGAGAGTCTGTTTGAAGAGAGAGTGGCAGAGATCGGAATTTAAAGTTTCCTTCCCACAGGGGGCATCTGTCTATAGCAGTGATTGCTAAGGAAGAATCACAGGTGGTTAGAGGAATGGAGTGGATTGTGGCAAAGGTGTTATCAATGAAGTTGCCAGCAGCTCCTGAATCAACCATAGCTAGAGTTGGGATCTTTACATCACCATATTGTAGACAAACGGGTAAACTCAGAATGTTATTGGAGGTAGAGAACAAAGTGGTTGCACTCACCGGTAAAGTCTTGGGTAGAGGTTTATTGGGGCACAGCAACTTTGTATGACCCAAAAGACCGCAATACAGGCATGAGTGGTTTCTCAGTCTTCTCTCACGTTCCTCAGGGGTTAATCGGGTTCTGCCCAGTTGCATGGGTTCAGTGGAGCTCTCAGGGGATACAGGACAAGGAGAAACAGAACATAGGGGTTTTCTGGTTCGAATTAAGTTACCCAACCTGATTAACAGCTCGATGGTCTGGTCCAGTGATTTTTCCCTCATCACGGCATGCCATCTCAGTCTGCAGTTCGGGGTTTAGAGCCTTTATAGAGAGTCTTCAGAGGATCGTCAGCCCAGCCAGTCTGCGCAGCTAGTGTGCGGAAATGTAGAGCGAATTCGGCTGCAGGTTGATTTTTCTGTTGGACACACAAAAGGTCCTCACCAGCATTACGACCTCCCTCAGGAGGGTCGAATACTATGCAAAAACGTTTGAGAAAGTCATTAAATGAGGGAAAAATTGGGGTATTATCTGGCCAGACTGCAGTAGCCCAGTCTAAAGCCTTTCCCGTGAGCAGGAAGCACACAAAAGCAATTTTAAACTTTTCATCATTAAACAGATGGGGCTGTTGAGCGATAAACAGTTTACACTGTAGTAAAAAGCCTTTGCATTTAGCTGGGTTACCTGAGAACTTGTCGGGAAATGCCAAACGAACACCAAAAAAGGTTGGATCGGTGTAACGGGGTGTTGATTTGGAGTAATTGGCGGTGAGTTGCGCTGTGAAATGTTGGCCGTGGCTGAACAAGACTTCGCAATGAACTGGTGTTTGAGTGTGGCTTATATAGGGAGCGTGGGTCGTTAACGGGATTCAGTTTAGGTGTCTGCACAATCAGTTTAGGTGGATGATGTAATGCTTAGAAGTCCGGGGATGGCGGCCTCTGTTGGCCAGCGAGGGGAATGACTGGGACCGAGTCGGTGACAGTTACCAGACCATTAGAAAAAAAATCCTTAGTGTTTAGTCTAAAATTGCATTCATATTGGTCGTAAAAGGGTCTTAAAATATCTTAAATTTGATTTGGTGACACCTGCAGAAACCTTGGTATTCAAATGTTGAGAGCAGTCAGTTAGAAAACATTTCGCTGCAATCTTTATATCCTATACTGTGTTTATTAACTAGGGTGTTTCCAATAGCAGTGCTGTGATAAAGGATGCCACGTTAGGCCTAGCAGAGACTGGGAGGAGTGTGGTAGATTACATATAGAATTACATATATTATAGTAATTTGTGAATAAAAGTATGCTGAATGTAGTGTGCATGTGTGTAAAGGTGTGTGCAGGAGTGTGATACACATTCACAGGTTACTTCTATCATAGCAGACAAATGGTATAAACAGACAGCATACGGACTCTACGAGATTCACAAATAATTTTCATTTAGTTTTTACTTTATGTGTAAATTTGTTATAAACTAGTTGTTTTTGTTCCAGTCACATACATTAAATGTTTAATTATCTATGACATGGTACTACTTATATTATTTTACCATCTGTACACCAATATAAGTAGTGAAAGAGGTGTGGTAATGTGGGCAGGGTGGTACAGTGCCAGGGCTGAATTTTTGTCCCAGTCTGCCCCAGGCCCCCGGTTTTGAAAAGAAGTAATAGCGTTAAAATCTTAATGGTTGTAGACAGATTTTACAACATACTGATTCTAGCCTTCAATGTATACAAAACACTCTTATATACCTTAATTTGTTTGGTTTTAAAAGACATCTTTGAAGGAACAGTATGTTTGCAAATGACGTAAAATAAACGTGTTTCCTTATAAAGCAATATTTACCTTGATTTTTCTTCAAGTGTTGTTGATAAAACTGTAAATTCCCTCCATCTTAAACATGTTCTCAGATGGCAATATTCATTTTCCTAGAAGCCACCTAAATAATCTTTCACACAAACTTTTTAAAGCGACATTACAGTGTTGTGGTGAAAAATGACACTGATACTGTGCGACAGCTATATTTTGTATGAAAAATAATATTGATAATAGTCAATAACTATACAATATTTTAATTATTTCACTTATGCTTAATTAAGATACTTTAATAGATACCAGATAAATAATATTTTAAAATGTTATTTTCATTGTTGAAGTTTAAAAACTCTGGGTGTGCGACAAGGGTAAAACAGTTATTTTGATACCTAAAAGGATTAATATGAATAATATATAATAGGAATGTAGTAATTTTTTTAAAGTAGGTTTTATTGTTAGTTTGACAAAGAAAGAGGAATTTGAACAAACTTATATATGTTTTTGGATATATGATCAAAGGACATAAAAGTGCCCATAGCTGAAGAATTACCCTTATGAATCTTGATGTCAGTTCTAAAATCGATATTTGTCATTATTAATCAGCATCATTAATATAGAGCCAGTTTTAACAGAGCATGGCAATGTATAAATATGCAGCTGTTTTTGTTTGATTTTTGTTTACGTTCAGCATTTTGAGTGGATTTGAACATCAGTTAATTTGGCACAGCAGCAAATATATCTTTAAAATATATTTATATCCTCTGACTTTCTCTCTTTTTCCCATTGTATGTCTCTCTGTCGGTAGTTAATGTCTAAGAGAGTGAATGGCTCATGGATGGGGTCTGTCTCTGTCCCATCATCCATCCCTCATGCCTTCCGCTCACAGCTATCCCCATCTGCTGACCTCAGCATTGCCGTCTTCCTCATCATCACGGGTCAGTTATCTGTGTTGATTAGTATATCAATTAATGCTGATCTATTAATGCCTTTAGCAAATATTATTTTTATTGCTTAATATATAATCTCACTTGACAAAGTAATCTGTTTTTTTCTTCTTCTCTCAGGCGTGGTGTCAGTATTTGGGAATGGGTTAGTTTTGTTGGTTTATGGTCAGCGGAGAAAGAAGCTCAGAGCGCATGAGTTGATGACCATCAATCTGGCTGTGTGTGATTTCGGCTACAGTCTGCTGGGGGCGCCATGTATCATCATCTCGAGGTACCACCACTGTACCGAATGCACATTTACATTTACGGAGCAGACTCATCCAGTAGTGTGTGTTACGTAAGAGCTCTCTTTTCTAAAGCTCATCATTGCATCGCTTGCTTTTGTGATTATCATCCCTTTGTGTCTTCTGCTGTCTGTAAGTGTCAAGGTCATGATGTTTTGTCAAAAGGAATAAAGATTACTGACTATTGAAATAGTAAGTCATTCATGATTAAATAATGCAAGGAATTAGACTGATCTGATGTGACTTAGAGGCAATTTTAAAATTTAATTGAATTGAATTATTTCACAGAGATGGGTTGCGGCTGGAAGGGCATCCTCTGTGTAAAAATGTGCTGGATAAGTTGGCGGTTCATTCCGCTGTGGCGACTCCGGATTAATAGTGGGACTAACCTGAAAGGAAAATGAAGAAATGAATGAATGAAATGAATTAAATTTTTATTTCACAGATTTTAGACAAGCTGTATAAAATCACAAGTATCCTATACATTTTGAAATAAAAAATGTAAACACACAATCAAGCCCTGGGCTTGTTTCCATTGTGGTCCTCCCTGTTAAAAACAAAAAGGCGGCAAAACAAACAGTACCTCCACATTTTAAAACAGGAACAAAATTATTCACAAATACATTTATCCATTTATTATTTTTTTCCCGTCTTAGTCCCTCTATTAATCAGTGGAATGAACCGCCAACGTTGCAGCATATACTTTACACAGTGGATGCCCTTCCAGCTGTAACCCTATTCACAATACAATAACATATAAAAAAACATCATGATCCACCATTCAAACGAATTATCCTTATCAAACAATGATGCAGTGGTGGAGTAAGTAGTGCTGTTGCCTCACAGCAAGAAGGTTGCTGGTTCGAGCCTCGGCTGGGTCAGTTGGCATTTCTGTGTGGAGTTTGCATGTTCTCCCTACGCTTGTGTGGGTTTCCTCCGGTTTCTTCAGTTTCCTCCACAGTCCAAAGACACGGGGTACAGGTGAATTGGGTAAGCTAAATTGTCCTTAATGTATGAGTGTGTATGGATGTTTCACAGAGATGGGTTGCAGCTGGAAGGGCATCTGCTGCGTAAAACATATGCTGGATAAGTTGGCGGTTCATTCCGCTGTGGCGACACCAGATTAATAAAGGGACTATTAAGCCAAAAAGAAAATGAATGAATAAAATCCCAACCCCTAGTACTACATGAATGCTGTTATATGAATGCTGCTCTCATTCCCAGTTTAAAACACTCTTTTACTTATAGTTAACTTACCTAAATTCTTCAAAAAAAACTCTTTGTGCAAATGTGCTTTATGAATTTTTTTAAAATGGTTCGTACTACTTTTATTTTGTGCCTTTTGCAATTTTTCCTTCATACTCTTTGAGCAGCTATTATACCAAAATATAGTAGCATAATCAAAATGGGGTTGAATCAAAGCTACTGCCAACTGAACAAGTAAAATATTTTATATGTGCTTTCTTTAAAGTTCACTGAATGAAAAATGAAGAAAATCAAACAAACAAAAACCAATGAAATTCAGAGCCATTGTTTTTTTCTTGCCATTTGAATTAAAATACATTTTAAGGTGCCAAAAGCTTTACACATTTGCGACTAGGACCGGACCATGAAATCAGTCTTATGTTATGTTTTTATGGTCCGCAGCTACATTTTTGGCAATAGTCAAAAATACTAAAATTATTGATTTTTCCTTTATACCAAAACTCATTAGATTAATCAAATTTTGTTTTCATGAGAGAATATAGAAAGAGAGATGTTTTGTAAGGACACAGAGTGAGTTGGTGTGCCTTATTGATAGGCAGGGGAAAAAGGGGTGAGTTAAACAGTAACAGTTCAACAGGTAAGATGAGTAGTATAGAAGAGCCCTGGTGGCAACAGACACAAGCCACAGATGCATATAGGCTGCAAACTGAAGTGACCATGCCAGGCCTTGGAAGGAGCACAGCAGAGCACCATCTAGAAAAATGTTGGTGCAAGCAGCAAAAACTTTGGGCTGTGGACAATGTAAAGCATGTATTGTTCTCTGAAGAGTCCACCATCACTGTCTTTTCCACATGTGGTGGAGTTTAGGGTGTGGAGAAGCCTCAAAGAAGTGTACAACCCAAAGCATTGCATGCCCAGAGAGGAACTTGGGGGTAGATCAGTGATAGCACAATACTTGTGCTACATGGGTGCATCACTGACAAGGTCTTCCGAACCATTCTGTTTTCCTGGGAGTCTCCCGGAACTCCCGGAATTTCAGTTTAAATGTCTAACTCCGTGTAAATATTCGAAACATCAAAACATGTCTTTGGGTAAAGGAAGATAGAAAAATAAATACAAAATAAATCTTGTTTATCTTTGTTCAGTACACAGTGATGTTATATGGATAAAATATCATCAAATGTAGTATTTGGCTTGTAGACTTGTATATGCATTAACACAGCCACAGTTCATAAAGAATTGGCAATCTGTTAGAAATATTTACTTAGAAAAACCTTATATCTGAGCATATATGCAGGCTTTTTGTGGGTATTTTAGAATTTGCTGTGCTCAGGATTTTGCTGCTGCTATAAACTTTCTTTTCTCCTATTTGTCTTTCTCAGTCTGTCCCATGCCTGGATTTTTGGCGAAACAGGATGTATATGGTATGGAATTCAGGGCTTTGTTTTCGGGATTGGATCTCTCATCACCACCTGCCTCATATCCCTTGACCGCTGCTTTAAGATTTGCAGCTTTCGATATGGTAACTTTCCTTTTTATTGTTTGTAGAATAATTTTATGTTTTGACTTTTTTACTTTTTAAGTTATGTTCATTATGTTTTAATTTATGGACATTTTTGAGAGTTACAATTTTAGGTTACTAAAAAAAATATAAGAACACAACATATATGAAAGAAGAATATAAGAATATAACATAATAAAGATTATACTTTATAAATTAATCTTGACTAGATTGTTGTGGCCAGCTGGTAAGATCATGTTAAATAAAGCCTCAACCTGTTATATACATTTAAGTAGTTGAAATTAAATAAAATGAAATGTTTAGTGCTGTTTAATCAAAGGATTAATCCAGATTATTCTCATCCAAAATATGTTTATGTTGCATTATGTGTATATTTATGTTTATATAAATAGTTGCATGAATGTATTGTATGAGCCATTTTATAAGATATACACTTTATTTGTTACACCAGTCAACTTCTCATTAACGCAAATTTCTTATAGCCAGTCACTTGGCAGCAACTCAATGCAATATGAGATCAAGTTCAAACCGATCAAGATAATCTGCTGCAGTTCAAACCGAGCATTAGAATGGGCAAAAAAAGTGATTTAAGTGACTTTGAACATGGCATGGTTGTTGGTGCCAGACAGGCTGGTATGAGTATTTCAGAAACTGCTGATCTACTGGGATTTTCAGGCACAACCATCTCTAGGGTTTATATCGAGAATGGTCAGAAAAAGAAAAAATATCCAGTGAGCTGCAGTTTTGTGGGCACTTGTTGATGCCAGAGGTCAGAGGAGAATGACCAGACTAGTTCCAGCTGATAGAAAGGCAACAGTAACTCAAATAACCACGCGTTTCAACCGAGGTAAATTTATATACTCTGCCTTTAACAAAGCTAACAAAACATCAAGCCTGTAGATTTCCAAGGCAATCTCATGGCAATTCGAACTTTTTGATTTATAGTTTTTCTTGATTGCTTTGATGCAGCTGTCAACTGAAACTCCACATTTTCAAAACAGTTAACACACAGGCCTAAACAGCGGCACTCATGGTCAAAATGACACATTTTGCTTGCAAAACGCTCATACCATGTCAAAACATTTAAAATATGTAGCAAAAGCTTTTTTCCTTCAAACAACATAACTTGCTAACAAATATATGAGCTCTTTCAATTATTGATTACACAATGGACAACAAAATTCAAAATACAGAACTGTGAATCAGTGCACAATTGCTTGCCATTGTAGCTGATAACGAAGGGGTGTCAAACCGGTGCTTCAGTGTATTCATACTGATCTTGATAGTTTCTAATGGTTGGGAAGAGATGGTTTCTGTTTGGTTACTATGGCTAAAACAATTGAGTTTGGACCGCTTGAATGACAATTAACTGTTATGAAAAATGTTGGGGAAAATGTGTCAACCCAATGAGAAAGGGTTTACACATTTGCAAGACCTGTCTTCTGCTCTGCTGGGATAGTGATAATAAAAATGAAGTGGAACCTAGTTTCTTTAACCAGGTCAAAGCAAACAAGAAAAACTGTAATGGGTAATTCGTATGACTTCGTACGACCTAATTCATACAATTTAGTTCGATTTGCTCATCACCCAATGACAATTGGTTTAAGGGCAGGGTTGGGTGCCATGCCTCCTTTTAAAAACTGGAGGCTGAATTTTAAACTTTACAGAACTCGTAGCCACTAAATTGACAAAACAGAAAACACTTACCTTTCTTGTGAGATCAGGCTGATATTTAAGTCTTTTTTGTAGCAACTTGTATGAAGCCATTAAGCATGTTAATCATTTTCTTTTTGTCTCAGGTCAGTGGGTTGAAAGAAAACATGCCTCTCTATCTGTCACTCTGGTTTGGATCTATACATTGTTCTGGGCCTCACTTCCCATGTTTGGCTTTGGTAGTTATGGCCCCGAACCATTTGGAACCAGCTGCACCATAAACTGGTAATCAACCACAGCCATTAGTAGCAGTGTGTTCCCCAATGGTGTGTGGGTGTTTTAAGATTGCATTCTCAATTGATAAGTACACAAGTTCACTTTTAAGTGTAAAAATTTTACAAATATTATTTTACCCACAAAAAGCAGACCACAACCTAGAAATAAATGTCTGTATGACTTCATGCATATTTCCTGTGACCACAGGTGGAGGATGAACTCATCACTTACTGATAGAATCTATATATTCCTGATCCTGTCCCTCTGCTTTGGAGTTCCTACCCTCATTATCATCGCCTCATACCTTGCTATCGTAATCAGGGTGAGATATTATGATTTATGAAATAAGAAACTTGAAGCTATTAGGCGGGGCGAGGCAGTGGCGCAGTAGGTAGCGCTGTCGCCTCACAGCAAGAAGGTCGCTGGGTTGTTGGTTCGAACCTCGGCTCAGTTGGCGTTTCTGTGTGGAGTTTGCATGTTCTCCCTGCCTTCGCGTGGGTTTCCTCTGGGTGCTCCGGTTTCCCCCACAGTACCCAAAGACATGCGGTACAGGTGAATTGGGTAGGCTAAATTGTCTGTAGTGTGTGTGTGTGTGTGAATGTGTCTGTGGATGTTTCCCAGGGATGGGTTGCAGCTGGAAGGGCATCCGCTGTGTAAAAACTTGCTGGATAAGTTGGCGGTTCATTCCGCTGTGGCGACCCCGCATTAATAAAGGGAGTAAGCCGACAAGAAAATGAATGAAAAGCTATTAGGCATATCAAGATCAGTAAATTTATTGTTATTTGACTTAATGTTGACAGAAGAATAACTATATAAATGTTGATCCAGTATTGTGTGATTTCAGGTGTATTGGTCTAGTCACATTTTGGCTTCAATCCCTTCATCAAACGTCACTCACAACAGCAAAGATCTTCGACTGACAAAGGTAAGTCTTCATCGATAATACCTTTGCTTAAATTCACAGAACCATTCATTATTCATGAGAAAGCAATCATTTGTTGAATAAATTGGTAAATTTGTATAAAATTATATTATTTGATTTGTACAAAAATATAAGAAGACTATACCAAACACAATAGAGTACACAAGACATGTCACTTGTCTAGTTTTGAATGTGGAAAAGTGTATTGGTCATAATGGCCATAAAGTCCTGCCAATCATCGATCGATATAGACTGACGTTTCTTCAGGGCAGAAACTTGTACCAGACTTGTGTTTTTACAACAGTTTCTGTGGTCAACAAACACACTGGAATCTCAGCGAATACTTGCTTCACAGACATAAGAAATATATCTACAAAAAGCTTGAAATCTGTACTTTTAAATAAACCTACTATCCTTAAAAACAAGTTTTTTTTTTGTTTTGTAAACTGCGTGAAACAAATATGAGGTACAGTCCATCCTGTCAAACGCACATCACATGACAGCAACTACTGCAATACCCCCTCCCCCACTAACTAACAAGACCAACTTGTGAATTACCTCTGAAGATTAGTGTGATCTGATGAAGCATTATTTAGAGCAGTGGTTCCCAACATTTTTCATTTTTATTTTTAATTTTTTTTTGCCTGAGATCCCTTTTCTTACCAGAAATATAGTAAGGACCCTCTCCACATTTAATGAAATAGTCACTCATATAACTTTGCAGTATTGATGACAAATAAATGTTGTTTTCAAACAAACAGAATGTTTATTACTATATCTAGATATGTTTATGCACATATAATAGCCTTATGTTTCACAGAGATGGGTTGCAGCTGGCAGGGCATCCACTGCGTAAAACATGTGCTGGATAAGTTAGCGGTTCATTCTGCTGTGGCGACCCCGGATTAATAAAGGGACTAAGCCAAAAAGAAATTGAATGAATGAATAAATAATGTAAAATATAAAAGCAAAACATCAGTATTCCATTTGTAACTGAAAAATATAACCCTTTGGCCTTTAAATTGACCCTATTTGAAATTTAATTACAAAAATATCAGTATTCACACAAGTTTATAAGGGAAAAAAATAATATAGGCTATTACAATTTAATACTTGCATGTTATTTGTTATGCTCTATCAATTAGTGTGAGGACTGCTGCGAGGCGAATCAGTGAGACTGATTTTCTGTGGAGAACGAATTACAAATTTGACCATTTTTGGTCAGCTAGGGCAGTGGTCCTCAAACTTTTTATCACCACTTACCGGTCAACGATTGACAATTTTACTGCAGGGGGTTGATTTTTTTGTAGGTTGCTATGCGACCATCATTTTCTCAGAGGATGACAAACTGACAAAACATTGCTGTCACTCTCTGATACATGTTTTATTGATGGGGAAAAGTATAAAGGACTGCTGTGTTTGTGTCTTCTGTGTTTGTCTGAGTAAATTTGTCTTAACGAAATTCCATACAAGCTGAAGCTTATCAGTCAATGCTTGTCACATGACCCGCGGTGCGTTCGCGACCCGGGGTTCACTGGTGCGAGCACGTCACGCCGCTTGTGCACACATGCCATGCACCTTCACTGGAAACAACTAACTTGTGCAGACTCTAGAAATACGCGATATGTGAACGCCCCCTAAAAGGCCGCCTTCATCTGTTATCTCCATCAGTTGATCTTCTCGCACAGCCATGGTGGATTCACCTGATTTGTTGACAAGTGGGTTGCGGATCTATTCCTTGCCAGTCTGCAGGTCCTTCACTTGGCCTTTTTTCTCTTAGCAAAGAAACTTTCTAAAGACATCTGTTTCTTACTCATTTTGCTGCTTTTTCGGTTAAATGTGGGCGTTAAAGTGACAGAGATATGAGCGAGAGAATATGGTTTAAAAAAAAAAAAGTAAAAAAAAAAAAAAAGACTTTAAAAAAAAAAAGATTGTTCCGACTAAGATAATAAATAAAACTTAATTAATTAATGATATCTTGTGCCGCTCTGTACCAAATGATCCACAGACCGGAGGTTGAGGATCACTGAGCTAGGGGATAAAATGAACTAAGGCAACATGATCATTCTCCTAATTGTCCACTGCTAAGATTTATTTTTTTAAATATGACGCGACCCCCCACAAAACTCGCTGAGGCCCCCTTGTGGGATGCGACCCCCCTGTTGGGAACCACTGATTTAGAGGATGGCCATAAATGAGGCTGGTGTCATGACCTCATTCTTTTTAAGTATGCATGCGCATTAGCTTAGACATCCTGAAAAAATGCAGATTTTGTATGATTCGAACATTTAGAAATGAAACTTATGAGACAATTGATGTTTTATTGTATCAGTGATTCCAAATATGTGACGTAATTTTAAGCTTGACAAACAGTTTTTGAGAATTTGATTTGAGTGCCTGAGCATACTGCCCAAGAGGCTTTTCAAAAATGACCGCCGAGTGAAATGACGCCTTAAAGATGCAGTAGGTGATCTGCCAAAATGCTAACCGCTTAGCATATTATCTTTGGACGGCGGGGAGGGAATGTTCAAAGTTACGCCTCCTGAAATCATGGACGTGTGCACCACGACACAACAGCAGACAACCCACTAGTTTATGTCATTCACCAGTTAGAAATGTAGTTAGTGTTTGTCCTGCGGCGTGCAGAAATTTTACTTATTACTAAGCCACACTTACATGCTATTTCAGAGTGAATTTTCAGAAGAGCTGTAAACAATACAGGGAGCACATCATTGTTAAAAAATGACCCAATGTGAATATAAAACCATCTTCACCTCAGTAAAGCAGGCTAGGCAGAAGAGCACTGATGTTTTGTTGTTAAACTAAATAAAAATCTACAATATCGATGCTGTAAAAAGACGTTATGAAACTGAAAATAGTCACATTAATCTATTGCTGGGAGATTTCAGTGGTTGAACAACATTTCTGTGCATATAACGTTAACCCATTCATAACACATCAGCTTTGAGTGACTAAAAGAGTTTAACACAGAACATCTGTCTAACAGAAACACTTCAGCCATGGTGTTGTCCTTTTTTTAACATTTCTGTTCACATTTCCAATTTCCTTGTTTTAACCTTGTGAAGGCCCTGGTAACGCGACCGTGACCAGCAACTGTTTTTTTTCCCCCGTATTAGTGCCAAAGACACTAAGAATACTCTGTTGATTTGGTCATGCAAATAATTGTTACACACCATTCAAATCTGTTGTCTACTTTTTTGTCTGTGTACTCACAAAAACAACAAAAGCATGTGATTTTGCAAAATAAGGAAATTAAACAGTGTATACGCATTCTTTCTTTTGCTTCTCGGCGAACTATTTTTAGAAATGAGTGACTAAAATGAAACTCTTTGAAAAAAAAACACATTGTCATAGATCTGTAGAAATTTCTTGAAGTGTCTGCTTTTAAATGCAGTGAGTGCATGTTGAAAACAAATATTGTTTGAAAAAGTAATCAGTATGAAACCAACACTATACATTAGCCAGTGGGGGAGTGTCTTTTGCCTCTCCAGGTGAGAATTATTCATGACTATTGTATTTAATGACCATTGTCACTCCCACGCATGCTGACCCAAAACATTCATTCTTTCAATCATTAATTTTCTTTTCAGCTTTAGTCCCTTTATCAATCAGGGGTCGCCACAGCGGAATGAACCGCCAACTTATCCAGCATGTTGCATTTGTTTTATGCAGTGATTGCTTATCCAGCTGCACTGGGAAACACCCATACACTCACATTCACACACATACACGACAGACAATTTAGCTTACCCAATTCCCGTATAGCGCATGTCTTTGGACTTGTGGGGGAAACTGGAGCACCTGGAGGAAACCCACGTGGACACGGGAAGAACATGCAAACTCCACACATAAATGCCAACTGACCCAGCTTAGGTTGGAACCAGTGACCTTCTTGCTGTGAGGCGACAGCGCTACCCACTGCACCACCCTTCCGCCCTGATCCCCTGTAACATTTTCTTTGAATGGGAGAACAGAATAATTTCCCATTATTGTGAAGTAAATAGTTTAGCCTACAAGACTGGTATTCAGGCACATTTAGTGTGTTTTTGGACCTTATTTTAGCTACATTTTTTTCTCTAAAACCTACTAACCACACATAAATTATTTTTTTTCAAAAAAACGCAAGCATGTACATCAGCATTTCTCACATATTATTGTAGCACAGTTTGTGCTGAATACAAAAAATACATGTTGGCCAATAATAAGTAAATGTAAATGTAAAATAAGCACAAATGTCAGAACATGTCAAAAACATCTTAGGAGCCCCAAAATCCCCCCAGACTCCAGAGGGTTATATAGTTTTTAAAAACTTCTTGTTGCAGATCGCGGCAGTGGTGTGTTCCTCATTTCTGATTGCCTGGACTCCCTATGCGATTGTTTCACTCTACTCTGCTGTTATGGCCAGAGAGGAACAGCTTGGGGAAGATGGGGGAACGGCCATCCCGGGTGGAATAACAGGAACAGGGATTGGCCGTGGTGGAGGGTTCCCTGACGTCTATGCTTTTCCCTTCCTCATTAACTGGACCTCTTCAGAGCAATTCGGAGATGTTTTTGGCTCCTGGAGGAACATGACTTCAGGTCATTCTCATTCAGTAGGGCATCATGGTTCAAATGTAGGTTCTGGACATGGTGGAACAGGTGGACACCACTCACTTCCTGAGTCCATCTTGAAACCAGAGTTCTCACTTATCCCTGCTATTTTTGCCAAGTCTCACTGCATGATAAACCCCTTCATCTACCAGATCATGAACCGCGACTTCAGAGAGGACGTGTATGACCTCCTGTGCATGCGAGGAAAAGATGGAGAGAGAAGGAGGTCAAGAAGCACAGATGGAAGTGATTCTGATGGTCAGATCTATCTATCTATCTATCTATCTATCTATCTATCTATCTATCTATCTATCTATCTATCTATCTATCTATCTATCTATCTATCTATCTATCTGTCTGTCTGTCTGTCTGTCTGTCTGTCTGTCTGTCTGTCTGTCTGTCTGTCTGTCTGTCTGTCTGTCTGTCTGTCTGTCTGTCTGTCTGTCTGTCTGTCTGTCTGTCTGTCTGTCTGTCTGTCTGTCTGTCTGTCTGTCTGTCTGTCTGTCCATCTTGCCACTACTGCTATCTATCTACCTACTTACCCATCTGTCTGTCCGTCCGTCCGTCCTTCCATTTATCCATCCACCCAACCACCCACCCATCTGTCATCCTGTCCATCCGTCCATTCGTCCGTCTGTCTGTCTGTCTATTTATCCGTCTGTCTGTCTATCTGTCAGTCCGTCCGTCCGTCCATCTTTCAACTACTGCTATCTATCTACGTACTTACCATCCGTCCGTCCGTCTGTCCTTCCATCCATCCACCCACCCATCCATCCATCCATCCATCCATCCATCCATCCATCCATCCATCCATGCATCCATCCATCCATCCATCCAGCCATCCATCCATCCATCCATCCATCCATCCATCCATCCATCCATCCATCCATCTATCTATCTATCTATCTATCTATCTATCTATCTATCTATCTATCTATCTATCTATCTATCTATCTATCTATCTATCTATCTATCTATCTATCTATCTATCTATCATCTATCTATCTATCTATCTATCTATCTATCTATCTATCTATCTATCTATCTATCTATCTATCTATCTATCTATCTACTTATCCATCCATCCATATTTATCTGTCCCTTCGTCTGTCCGTCCGTCCGTTTATCAATCTATCTGCTTACATGTTTTTACTAACTTTATGTTTTGTCTATGTTCTGATTTTTCTGTTTCTATCCATGTATTTTCCACTTATGCAGGGCATCGTGGGAGCGTCACTCTCTCTTATATTCACAGCTGGAGGAGAAGAAGCACACCAACCAATCAGCCATCCGAAAAATGTGTGAAAAAAGAGTCCTCTCGTAAGAGTAGAGGAAAAAGAGGGTCCTGTCAGGATAATAATTCCATTGGGTGGGCAACCTTAGATACAACAACCTTAGACACACAGGTCAACTTAGAAAGAGAGAAAGGGAAAGAGGTGGAAATAGAAACCCAAAAAGTTTTCAAAGAATCCTCTTCCAGCAGCTTGTTGACAGTCAAAGAGTGATGCATGCATCTAAATACTCAGACTTCAGAGTGTGCAGTTTATGCAGTTAGTTACAGGTAGTTCAAAGTTGTAAGCTATCTAAGTTAAGTATTATTAAGTCTATATTATGTGTTATGTTTTAGTTAAATAGTTTTTTTACCCAGTAAATGTCATGTCATGTTTTTAGTCATTTACATATTTATTTTTTGATCCTGTGTTTATATGTAAAGGCCACACTTATTTATTTATTTATTTATTTATTTATTTATTTATTTATTTATTTATTTACTTATTTATTTATTTATTTATTTACCTTTTGTGCATTTACATATTGTGTGTATTTACATATTACAGGCCTATTTATGTTTCTACATTACATACATTTACAAATAACAGTGTCATGTAAATAAAATGTACAACAATAAAAACCATTTGACACCTTTATTTGGAAGACTTGTGATCTCAAAATAGATACAAAATACTAAATCAAAAGCTCCACAAGACCAAAATACAAGAGCTATTTGTAGCAGATCTGTGACGTCAACTTTGCTTTGTTATCATGATGCATGAGGTAATATCTGTTTTACCGTAAATACACGTCTAAGACAAACACGAGATAATAGCACATCAATAAGACATGGAATTCACTTTCATGCAGTGGTTGATGATATATAAATAGTGTGTTTTGTTAAATAACAACCAAATATATTTTACAGCTTTAAAAAAATGTTAAGTACACAGACTGAAGGGGAGAGCTACTGCTGGTATTACGGTACTGTCAGCACCGAAGCGCTGCAGAGACTGGAGCATTCAAGTGTATTCAGTTTTCCAGGCAAGGAAGCTACAAGGTATTAGTTTGGACCTGCTTAAATTTAAACGTATTTCGTTGGCGTTTTTGCAATAGTTTGCTTATTTGAATAGGCATTTGCATATTTCTGCGCTTTTATCGGTTCCTGCAGTAAGAGTCGCTTCTTCATCAACGCTTCTTCATTCTTACTCAGCATTCACGCGCAAGCTGTAATAGTCTTAACTCGTTGCATAAGGCTTTAACGAGTTAAACGTGGATATTGCCGTGTCATCGGGTCGCTAAACACTACTGACCTTTAAAATCAAGCCGTTAATTGTTTTGAAAGTCAGACATAGCTGGTGTTCATGCCCGATCTGCAGCGCTTCAGTTTTCCGTACCGTAGCATGAATTCTCCTCTCCATCATCATCATCATCATCATCAGCAGCAGCAGCACCAACAGCATCAGCACCCAGAAGGACCCGGTCATCCCGATTCTCCCTCCAGTTTACTCCCCGAGGCAGCGATCTTCGGAGCTCCCGATCCGTCCTCCTTTTTTCTCGGAGAACAACCCGTCCCTGCTGGTGTCACCCAATCCGCACTTGACCTTACTGCATCTTCCTACCTGCACTTTAGTCCATCCCTTCACTGGTCCCAACCTCCTCCACCTACAGCCATGGCATTAAGAAACGATCTGGGATCCAATATCAGCGTCCTAAAGACTCTCAATCTGCGGTTCCGTTGCTTTCTGGCTAAAGTGCATGAACTGGAGAGACGCAATAAAATATTGGAGTTACAGCTGCAGCAGGCTTTAGACAGCAATAACAAGGGTGGATGCACGGAGGATGGAAAGACCAAAGAAATTGGTGTGCAGACTGGCTTTATTGGGCCCATTGCTGTCCGGCCTGGGTCTTTATCCTTTCAAAACACTAACAACTCTGCCAAACGACCCACTACATTGTTTATGCCTTCTCTTACAACTGTCCTCAAGCTTGAACCTAATAAACCTGGGGATGAGACCACATCAGACCCGAATATTAATAGAAACCCAACTATCACAGTCAGTCTCTCAACCCCCACTACTGAGCCTGCTTCGGCCAACACAAACAACTCCAATAATACTCCACATGTAAGCAGTGTTGGAACCGGGACATCTCCAAACCCTCCTCCTCGCTTCCTCCCGGGCACTATCTGGTCCTACAACCACACACGGAAACTGGGAAGCGGAACAGAGACTCGGGTCACCAGTCCTGGAGTTTCGTGGGTCCACCCAGACGGAGTGGGTGTACAGATAGACACCATCACCCCAGAGATTAGAGCACTTTACAACGTCCTGGCCAAAATCAAAAGAGAGAGGGATGAGTACAAGAGAAGGTGAATATTGAGAATATAGTTGATTTTTATGGCTTAATGTTTATAAGATTAAATTTTCTACCCTGTAAAAAGCCATTTTCTTAAAATATTGAGGAAATCCATTGTAACATGGAACTGTTAAATTGATTTAAAAGGATAATTCACCCAAAAATGAAAATTTACTCATCCTCAAGTGGTTCCCAAGCTTTGTAAGAATTCTGTTGAACACAAAAATTGCATTTGGGATTTAAAAACATATTTGTGGCAGGTGGAGGGTGAGTAAATGATGACAGAATTGTAATTTTTGGGTGAACTATGCCTTTAACCCTAATTTATATAATTACGCACAATTTTAATTAATATGCACGATATTAAATCAAAAATACAATTCTGTAATTTAATTATTATTTTTAATTTAATTAATTTAAATGCTTAAAGAGAATTTAACCAGTATGTTGAATTTGCAAGCTTTTTGAGATTTGCTGAGGTTATCAATATAGTTTTATTAAATTAGATTAGTGTTAGATAATGACAATAGCATACACTCCCAATCAAAAGCTTTTAGAAAAATTCATGGAGAATCAAATGACAGTGAAAATTCTTTGGTTTTTGATGTTAAAAATTCAGTTTTGTCATGACAGGTATAAGTTATATTTTAAAATGAGAAAACAGGTATTTTAAACTGGTCAGTAGGGTTGGGTCCATAGACATCCCATAGCCTTGAATCTGCAGGTGTTCAACACAACCATAATGAAATTGTTTTCCTGCAAGGGGGATGAGTTGTGACTTGCATTTTTGTGAGATAAAATAGAGCTTGACTTCATCTCATGTGAAGAAACCTGATATATAGACACATATCTCTATGTCCTTATTTTTTCAGTGCTGCTGAAGATATTTAAATCAGTATTATTACATGTATATAACGACATATATAATGAATAAAACTACAACTATAAAATTTGAATAATAATTTAATGAGTTTAGAGAACAATAATGTTTGCTCACTGTTAATAGTGCTCATTTCATAAGTATTATTTCCATAGGAAGTTAAAAAAGTCAAGGTTTGTGGGTTTGAAGCAAAGTATATGGAAAAAAGACACAAAATACACATTAATAGATTAAATGAGGGAAAGAACTCTAATCTTATGAATTATTGTGAGTGACAGAATCAAAAAGTCGTTAGTAGTATGTACAGAATTTCAAGTTTATTACAACATGCAAATATAACATGCAATACAATGCACATACCAAGATTTATGTACAGTATATTGAGTGCGTAGCAATTATTTACAATCCTTCATTAAAGTGGGTGGAATTAAAGATCTCTTTCCAACCCTTGATTAATTAAATTCAGTAGAAACAAAGACATATATACAATTGTTATCAATATCTGAGCTTACAATAGTCTTTAAAATTTGTCTTAGATTTGTCTTTAATAGTTTATCAGTTATTGTTAAATTTCAGCATCCCTATGGCTTATAAAAAATGTAGAGTTCTTATTTGCCGAACATGAGCTTTAATAGTAAAGAGTTTTCCTTTAAGCTAGCTAAATAATCTGCCAATGGGGTAAGCAAAATAATCTTATGTCAAACTGAAAAACAAGATTATTTAGCTTACACCATTTTTTAAGGAAAAACTCAGTTTTGCCATATTATGTCTAAAAACAACAATATATTTTTCTTGTCTAGAAAACACTTCTTGAATTTGTACATATATGTACTAGAAACATCTAAACTCTAAGAAAATAATTGTTTTGCAATGAGCACACTGGATCTGACTTTAAAGCACTTCAGAATTTAAAGAAGCAGACAATAGTGTTGCACACACATATGTTAATCAAACAGCATTGTGCTTTACAGTAGGCACTAATATTGTTATCTGTACATGAACACTCACATTCCACTCATACAATTTTAGTCATGCTAGAGCTGAACATGAGAAGCAAAAAGATGCATGTACAGAGATAAGAATCAGCTTGCGGGGATATAATGACTGTTTTTTTCTCATAACTGGTGGTATTCAGTCAGTCCCACAGCTCTTTACTGTATGTCCAGACCTGCAGCAGCCTGTCAGTCACATACATCTTTATTTAGGGCTGAACAGTTTGTCGGTTTGCAAACTCATTACTGTCTGTTGACTCATCAGGACAGGTGAAAGAACTGTTAAAAGGAAGAAAAGTCATTTTGCATCTCTGTCTAAAAACAGCCTGCTTCATAACAGATCTTATTGCATGTTCAGCGTCTCTCTGTCTGACTGCTTTGCCATTTTGCTCTGGTTTCAGCTCTACTCAGACTTTCTTTCTTAAATTTAATTTCTATTTTGGCTTTCCGATTTAGTAAGCAGTGTCTGTGGCTCTCTTCCTCGAAAGTGTTCTATATACTGTAATGAGTTTATATGAGTTTTTCTTTTTCAGCTTAATCACAAAGATTTCACCCAAGCTTTATTCATTTGGTCATATGCACAGTAAATAAAGTAATATTATTTAGAAATTTGACTTTTAAAATCACAAGATCTTTGACAAACTATTCTAATATGCCGATATGTGCTCAAGTAACATTTCTTATTATGTGTTATCTGTTATCTGTTCTTATCTGTGTTAAAAATATTGCTATTTTTGGTAAATGCTCAGTATCACTTTCAATCAACAAGGCATTTTATTAGGTACCCAACTTATATCCTAAATTGTATGGATGCTACTTTTAGGAACAAACACAAAATAAATACATGAAGAGATTAGATATCATAACTTTCGATGCAACAGTTGAGTGAATGTTTTGTGTTGCAAGGTAACCCAAAACCAAAAACAGACATCTAATTGTCTAAAAATCCATGGGCCTTATCATACACCCAGCACAATAAGCCACAAGAAGTGTTTGCTCTGACGTGTTGCTATTTTCAGACCAGCACAACCTTAATTTTCCCATTTCCACCAAATTGTTTAAATAGCAATCCCATTTGCACCGCTTTGTGGACTCATGGGTGTTCCGGTCTAGAAAAGAGATGTGTTAAGGTGCATTGTTGGTGCGTTGCTATTTTGAGGAACTAAAAAAGACTGTCCAATTGATGAACTAAAAGCAGGTTTAAAGTCCAGCACAGATTGCATTAGTTGTGTGCCTCACTTACAGATTGCTTAAAACACGCAGGATATTGAGCGATATGCAAATATCTTTACAAATAAAAAAGAATTAAAGGATTAACATATTACAAAAATGATTACTTTCTACATTCAACTTTTTTCAGTTTATTCACGACATCTTGCTTTTGTATATAATAATATTATTATTATTAGTAGTATTATTTATTATGTTCATATTTATATATATTTTTTAAAAACAAGCTTAGATTTGTCCTCATTTTTATTATTATTGTTCATTTATTCATTTTCTAGAAATTATAACTGAACTTAGAAATACTTTGGAACAAATCTTTGCGCTTAACAAACAAAATTAATTATCTATAGGCTAATAGATGTCTTCAGTGGATTGTACATCATCATTTCCTTATCCACGAAAGAGAGAAAGTGAAAGTAAAGGCCAATTGGAGGAGGCTCATTCTTTATCCTCGCGCTGCTGATGCTTTGTTTACCTTTTTTTTTTTTTGCTAGAGAAGCATTAATTTTTTACACTTACAAAGTTCGCCATGTAAATAGCTAATGCGCCATGAGGCCAAAAGACTCTTATAGGGAATTTGAGATGAGACTCTGATTGGTTTATGCTCAAAACACACTCATTAAGAGAATAAGCACAACCCTGTTATACCATGCGCCATGGTGCAGAGCATATTTTTCCATCCTTAAAATAGCAGTAGTGGATTTGGACACGCCCTTAACCTCCTAAGGCCCAAGGTGTTTTTTTACATGCATTTTTTATTTATCTTTGCTATTTGGGCCTATTGCAACCTAATTAGAATAAAACCAAAGTATCATCTTTTGATATGATGTACTTTTAGAGAAAAAATTATGGTGTGAATTTACATAAACACTTTTTTTCTGACAGTTTTTTAATGCATATATAACATATACATTTTTTAAACATGTTTTGACTATCAGAGAGTAAAAACAACATTTTGTCCCATTTTGGACTGTTAAAAATAGTGTTTGGGAAATTTCATATGCTACAAAACAGTCGCAGGAAGACACTGTATGTCTGTAACAAAATATAAAATATCCAAAGTATTTTAAGTAGCCATTTAAGAGCTAAAATGTGCTGTCCATGTATGTGAACACACAAGCCCTAGGAAGTTAATGCTTTTGCGCCCTGCGATTTAAACTTTGCACCTAGATCATTAAAATAACCGCGTGTACAAAAATGAGGATCAAAAACATAACTAAGGACATACACTATGTACAGTTGCATTTAAGTCAGTTGCTTGTCCCCCCTCCCCTCTCCCCTGATGGCCTGCACTCAGATTGCATCCAAGCTCGAGCATGCTTACATCATCGATGCTGCGATGTTCAGTTTAACACAACAGAAGCGCACTCGATCAGCACAGTGCAGGGTTCGTACAGGTGCTGGAAATCCTGGAAAATTTTTGATTTTTAATATAGTGTTTTCAAGGTTAGAAAAGTACTTGGATTTTGGACAAAGTGCTTGAACCTGCGTAATGCATAAAATTGTTGTCATGTGACCAGTTTTCATTGCAAAGTGTTCACCGAATATGTGTATTTAGGAAACATTCACGCAGAATTTTGTCCTAAAAACGCCAAGCACTTTGAAATAGTTTAAAACAATTTACATGAAATTTATTATTTGCAAATGTCATCTTAATAGCAGAAATGGTCTTTTCATTAGCTGCAATATTAGTTTAATCTTAGTGAATGCAAGCCGTTTGGCGATGGTGAACGTCCTGCAGTTGCATGACTGACAACATTGTGATGTTTAAATGAAGGATTAAATACAACATCTCGTGATTAAAATGTGTGGCAAATGCTGCTACTTGCAAACTCCATCCCTCAGGCTTTACAGTGAATGGCTTGGACCCATAAGGATTTAATTTGTTACATGAATTTCGAATAGCAATGCACATGAAATATCATGAACGACTGGTCATGAAAGTTTGGTACTACACCCAAACAAAATCTGACTGTAAGAACGAGACCAAAAATTAAATAGATATTCAATAACTGAATTTTAAAAATTAATGTATAATTTATTTTTGGGTGAAATCTCCCAATAAAGCCATCTTCCAAAGTATTCAACAATTAAAGTTAAAATGTCATATTGTTTGTTGGATTTAAATGTAAAAAAGTACATACAGCGTATATAAACATACATTACTGTGGTTGTTAAGTGCTGAAAAAGCATAAAAATGCACTTTGAAAGTGCTGGAATTCGAAGTTGGAAAAGGTGTAAGAACCCTGACAGTGGTTATATCATTGTAGTTGTTGATATGCAGTGACACAAAGTCAAATATTTTGCCAGGCAGATCAGTTATTTTTGACGCTCAAATAATCATAAAGTCCTCGTACTGCAGGAATTAGGAGGTTTGCTGAAGGTGCAGCTGTCGTACAGTGATGGGTTTGCGTCCTAAATAAACTATGACAGTTTGCGTTCATTGAAAAGTAAGAATGATTAATAAATCCATATAAAACAGTCCCTTAAAGGGCCATGAAACCCCTTCATTTTAGCAGGGTGTTTTCACACCTCTACTTTGGAAAAAGTTAGAGAAGTGGGTGTGTCCAGCTCTGTTTAGGGGGGAGTGTTGGAGGAACTAAAGAGGGATGGTGTGGGAGTGTCTATTTGGGCAAATCTGAGTTTCAGAGTCAAAACACACACACACACGGGAGAAAGAGACTGTGTTTACATGAACATCTGTAGTCGAATTATTTGCCAAATTATTAAATGGTGGACTTTAACTGCAGTTTGGTTATTTCATTCAGGGAATTCATTCATGCCCCTCGTGACAAACGAGATATTATATTCGAGGAACTGCTCTAAGCGTGTATTTTTCATGCAATGTTTGAATGAGAGAAAAAAAAGACCTCAGCATTTCCCGGAAACTTAGATGCACACAGCAAGTAGTGTCAGAAAGCCGCGTGTGTTATTCCGATAACAAAATGCTGTGAAAATCCTACACGAGGTTAAAGTTTGGCTGTGGTGTTAACATGTTTGCACTCGGTGCAATAATTAGTTCAATACGAACAAACTGAATAAACAAAGAGCACAGGTCACTCACTTACCAAATCTGTAGAGACACGACAATCACCAGCAACTAGAGCCGCGTCTTTATTAAGAGGAGACTACAAGCGAATCCGGATCTCAGGGTTTGCAGATGAGAACAGCTCTCAGGTAAACAATGTTCCTCCTTAGACACGTAAGTTTTTGTTGTCGAGTTTGACACTGTTAATCCACACAGGAGTCCAGCTGAGCTCTCACACAGAGAAAATGAAAACAAAACTTAACTGCAGTAAACTATAAAAGCAACACTTCATGCTTGTATTGCCAATACAACGTGGTGTCTCTGTCGTCTAAACACTGTGACAGTAATGAATATTAATGAAGTTGCACAATAGAGCGCGCTGATTGGTTTGAACCAAGCCTTACTCATGCATTAATGCAGCACACTCTGAGACATAATAAGGCCCACTCTGGTACAGTCGTCCAGTCTACACTCTGGAATACACGCTATTATCTCATGACCGTGACGCAGCTTCAAAAATTTGTTTCAAACTGGAAGTACGAATTTGCTTGAAGTAACGCAAAAACAACCAACTTACACTTTTTAGTGAAATAAAGGTGTCCTAATAGTGTTTTTAGCAGTGTGGGACACATATACGACTGTCAACAGCTCAAAAAATGTGTTTTGGTGTTTCGTGACCTTTTAAAAGTCAAGTCTCGTTTTCAGTTTCAGGCTCAGGTGTGCTTTGCACTCACACTACAAGCGTACCGCGCCTTAGCCCAAGTGAACTGCGCTCTGGCACACCTCTTCCAACTGGGTCAGAGCCGGCCAACTGAACCACACATAAACCCGATCAGACTTCTTAAATGAACCAGGAAACACGTCTGGGCACATTACGGATAGCAAAGTGTGAGTGCGCCCAAAAATCTAAACTTCTGTCTCTAAATCGTTCTTTTTTGAGAAAAGAGATGTTAAATGATGGCATAAATACCAGTATTTTTGTAAAACGATAAATGCATTGCTCTGGTTGTGTTTCAGTACACGTTTCAGATGACAAATCTACTTGAGGGCACTGTCTACATTTGAGCATTTAGGAAATACATCATGCTGGGCGGTACGGTCTTAATTGACTGAATGCTGAGGGTTTGTGGTGGAGCAATCTGCTATTAAATTTGACCCAATATCTGTTTATCTGTTTAATTGTATTATGTAGTATCCTATAAATGGGTACTGCAATGAATTGCAACTGCAAACCAGATCCCATCACCTTATACCAGTGCCTGACTAACCTTACCGATGCATTTTTTCTTGAATATTTTATTTTTAAAATTGTGGCAGAAGCATTATTCCCTCCATTTACTGCTTTAACAGCTTCTCTCTTCAGGGACGGCTTTCCACTAGATGTTGAAACAAGAATGCAGGGATTTGCTTCTGCCCAGACTCAAGAGCATCAGGGAGGTCGTGCAGTGATGTTGAGTAATTGGTTTTGGCTCTGATTAATTCCAAAACAGCTAAAAGCACATGGTTTAAATCCACAAAAATGCAGCTGAGATTTCATGATCATTTCTGAGTAATGCAAACTATTCATGGAATTAATGTTTTGAGTTTGTTTCAATTTCAAAATATGTTTTAATGACAGAAATTCATATTGTTGCTGAGGACTGATTAAATTTACCAAAATGATAGTAAAGTAATATATCAAATTATTTTATTGCAAAATAATTATGTATTTTAATTATTAAACATTGATAATATTATGAATGTTCCTATTATATAGTTCCTTGAGCACCAAATGTTTTCTGAAGGATCATGTAATACTGAAGACATAGAAAATGTAGCTAGCTTTGCCATCCCTAGAGTGATCTTCTATACATATTTGAATTTATCAGTCAGAAAAAGCACATTCAATTAACATGCAAGCATCTGAAATGAAAAACACTTTCTAGTTGTATCATTTGTCTCATTTCAGTCACTCCATTTCCTCTGGCAGTGGCGATCTATGTTATATCTGCAATGCAGCACACAAGGACTCAAGCTGCAGAGAGGCAATCTCTCTCTCTCTCTCTCTCTCTCTCTCTCTCCCTCTCTCTCACTCTCTCTCTCTACCTCTGTCCTTCCCTCACTGGCTTTATCTGTAACTCCCTTCAGTAATTGTATGTTTGCACCTTGAATTGGCAGTAATACACGGCCTCAAACTAACCTTGAAGTCCAGTGAGGATATTTAATAAATATAAAGGCTTCTGCAATGCCTCGAATATTAAGTAGCCCTTACATAAGAACAGGGCTTGTTTGGTTCCACCTCATTGCACTATACTACTGCACTAGACAATATTACTGTTGAACAACCACACAGTAAATTACTGTAGGGCTGACTGGGCTGATGGACCATTTAAAAGACTGAATGGGTGCAGTCATTGCACTTCAGTTGAGCACACAAAAACAACAACAACAAATATGTGAAGATTCCTCCAAATAATATCTGTATTTTCTTCTGTAACAAGGATGATGCATGTTTTGACGATGGTCCAAAAGATCTTTCAGGAAGGGTTCAATTGTCTTTTTTTTAATCATTATATTTAGTATTAGAAAGAAGTTACTTAAAACGCCACCATTTAATCTCCATCATGTCATCTATTACTTCCTATTAGGGCTGCACGATATTAGAAGAATTTTATCTATACTTTATTTGGAAAGAATTAATACATTTTCAAAGTATTGGATCTGGAATAAAATATAGCAAATAACTTAACTTAAGCATAAAGAAATTAAATATAGGGAATGGAAAAGTGAATTACAGTTTTCGGTAGAGTCTAACATTTTTTAGGTACAGATATTAAACAATCAGCAGTGCATAGTCTTGATATCGTATATAATGTAATCTTAATTTAAGCTACAAACACTAAGTGTCTTGTGGCCGGGTGTTTTAACTTTGAAATGTTAAAATGTTTACAGTAAACTTTCACAATAAAATAAAATAAAATAAAATAAAATAAAATAAAATAAAATAAAATAAAATAAAATAATACACATTAACAATAATAAGTAGGATGTTTTACATTTCTTAATAAATAGCCTACTGTAAATTAGAACCATTAGTGATTTATATGATTTATATATGAGATTAAAATATGTGTTAGCTAGTTCAAGTTTTAGAATAGAATATGGAATATTCTAAATAAAATTTGTAAAGGAAACATAGGCCTTATATGTGCCGTTTATATATATTTTAGTTAATATGCAAAACGAACTACAGTTTTGGGAAACACACGACACTCCACTTTTGCTACACAATGCATCATACTATGATAGTTCAGATGTGAGTTACGTCATTGTTTTTGAAATGCCCTCCATATCAGTTTTATGAATCAAATAAACTGATTTACTGAATACTGAACTTACACTTTTATTGATGATTGAATTTATCCAAGTTTTTAGACTATTTAAAGTTGCTTTTGTTGTGTCATATGTTCTGATGTTTTGTTTTTCTGCTTTCAGGTGGGAAGAGGAATACACTATGAGAATGGACATGGAACAAAGAATGAATGATCTGCAGGAGGTGAGGAACACTTTTTCTAGCCAAACCTTTCTTTTCAGCCATGTTGCTGTTTAGATATTCACTGCAGCCATATGGTCTTGACAAATCTTTATTTTTAATTTATTAAATATCCATTAGAATTGTGGAAATAATTTTTCAGTTTACAGTTTTTCTCAGTTGCCAAAACACTACAACCCACTGGCGTAACTAAGTTCTCAGTTGCCTGACCTCATTTAGTTAATTGTGCAGTCTGTTGTCAATACTTTAAACCAGATGTGTCAAAGTCAAATCCTGGAGTGCCGGAGCCCTGCAGAGTTTAGTTCCAGCCCTGCTTCAACACACCTATCTGTAGATATCAAACATAGACTGCAAAATATATGGACATAGTATCTTTGACGTCACCTATAGGTTTCCGAAGACCACAAATGAGGCTAAGTAGGCATAGCCAACCATCGCTATTTTGTTTGCCTGTCATCGCACCCACTGGGGGTGACCAAATAAGGGGAATGAGGTGGACCGTGAGCGAAGCTACAGATGCTGGCTAGCATTTTGCTTAGACAGGCTTTTCTTTGGGAGAAAAGCTTAATACTTCATTACCTGTGATTTGTTTGTGTTCGAACCACTTGTGTTTGTCTGTACACTATATCAATAAATCAATAAAGTGTTTAGTCTTTAAAAAACACTGTTGTAATACATTGAGCCACTAAGCATGGTTCTAATGACAATTTTCTACATAAGGAAAATGCGAATTACTTCCAAATACTTCAAATATAGTCTGTGATAGTAAATGCACAGCTATTTATGAAATCCAGGCATAACACTGTATGACAACATTTTAATTGACTGTTTTATAGCCTACTCCTATAATCAATGTCATAGGGTACCTGCGGTATCTTAAAAAGTCTTAAAAATTCTACAATTTAAAAATTGAAATTAAAGGTCTTTAAAAGTCCTAAATTCGCTGTTCTAGGTCTTAAATATGTTTGCACAGGTTTTATTTTTGTGATGTCCATGTAATGCTACATCTAATGCTTATTTAAATTCTTTTTTGTTGTTGTTGCTAGGTTTTTGAGGTGTTGTAGTTCTTTATTTCACTAGTTTGATTGTAATTTGCGGTATTACAACTACAAAAAGGTCAACTTGCAATAGCCAATCAGCTTTCTGTTTCTAAACTAAGTGCGTGTGGCGAATGTGACGTCATCTCTGTGTTTGAAGAGGTTCGCTTTTTCGTGCTTATGCTCTCCAAAGATGCTTCAGTATCTACTACTCTATGCTACTGTAGTATTAAGAATAGTGAACTGATAAAATGACATGCAGTGTAGTTTTACTACAGTAAAGTGTGTTGAATTGTAGTATAATATACCCTATATTGTAAAAAAAACTAAAGCAATTAGTAGTTTGCTTATATTACACTTGTTGCGTTACCATAGCAACTATAGTATTACCACAACAGATTAATTGAAGTACTTTCCTGTACTTTACAAAACACTGTACCGCAGAGACGAGTTCACTTTAGTTTAGTTGCCATGATATAATGGGATTGATAGTGAGATTTATTTGAAGAGTGAATAGTACAGTAGGCTATAATACCTTATCAAGTTTCTTATTTTCTATCACAGTTACATTTCTGCTTGCATTTGTTATATTTAAATGTTTTTTTATTTATTAGTATGGTGCAACTTATGGATGTTTAATAAATGTTTTTAAAATAAAACTAATCTCTGTGTCTTAAAGTGTTTGAAACAGGAAATATCTCATCAAATAACACACAGCCAAAAATGTGATGTATTGTGAGATTAATAATATAATATGTTCATCTAGTTTAGTAAGTTGGTTATTGGTAAAAAATAGTGTGCTAACATAAATCATATCAAAAAGCACAAAAAAAAAGAGGGAACAGTGTACTGAGAGGACTCAAGAAAATTTGTGCGTAAGCAGTGCATATTTGAGAGTTATAATATTTGCGCATGAGCAGCGTATTATATTTGAGAGCTCGCACGCAGTTTTGTTCACAAACAGAGGAAATCGGTGAACGAGCTGAGATTCGCTTGCTTGTATTACATGAATGTGCTCTTGACTTGTAATACTGCGCTCACAACATGAAATAACGCCATAGCGGAGCTAATGAAATTTTTTGAGACTCGGTTGAACAGTTCGCATGGTGCTACATTTGATTTGAGTTAAATATGAAACACTTTGAAGAGATTTTGTCTGAAACAGGTATGTCTGTACTGACATCTTTATGATCCGTCCATGTGTGATCATAGGGAGAAACAGGTGACCAATAATTCTTGGCTATAAATTGCAACAGCCGTGGGAAAGGAGGAACGTTTTTGTAAAATTTGGAAAAACCTGGGGGATAAGTTTGTTAAAACAAAATAAGAGGCCCCCCAAAAACATCTTCAATGATAATGATTTTCTTTTTATTCGTCTAATTTTACTGTCTGTTTCTTTTGACCACCCCTGTCATTTAAAATGGTGAACGCTTCAATGGTGAACGCTTCAAGTATAAAAGCCTCATCCTTTTCATAAGGTGTGCGATGCGGTGCCAGGCAAAAGTATAAATCAGCATTAAGATGTTTTTTTTTTTTTTCTGTAGTTCAATGGTGCATTTAACCTGTCTTTAGTACTGTTTAATTTAAATAACTTTATTTTACCACTAATTTTGTGATTTTACATTTTCTCTCGCATTTTTTTTTATATTGCAATATAGGTCTTAAATTTATTACTTAATGATCTTAAAAAGGTCTTAAAAAGTCTTAAAATTGACTTCTTGTTATCTGCAGATACCCTGTGTCAGATTCTGGAGTGCATTACAGGTCTAAAGACAATTATAAATGATAAATTTTCTTAAGTAAAACAAATACATTTATAGATATGGTATATAAGTATATAATTTTACTCACCTGGGAAATGGAGGCAACCTGAATGGTTTGTGAGCACAATTAAGTGCACACAGCATGCCATATTATCTGATAATTATAGGAAATATTTCCAAAAGGCAACTAACTGTGTAAAGCCACATAAAACATATAACAGAAATACGATGTATGTGCTGAGTTCAGCGGCTAATCATCCGGAATCAGCTGAGGTGAATTGACGGTGACCAGCGAGACCTAGATGTCACTCAAGTGACCACACCCTTAATTATGCAGACTTAATATGGCTTAATATAAGCTAAATGGATGAGTTATAAAAAAAATGTAATATGCACCAAAACCATCTTGTGTACCAGGCTATAAACATGTTTATATCAGCTGTGGAATCGGCCAACTTCTGGATTTTCTGGAGCCAATCCCCAATGGCAAGTTGATGAGTTGCAGTTTCAGTTACTTGGCTTCCCGAGGTGGAGTCGGAAGTTGCTGCTTGGTATCAAACAATCCTAAAGTACTCAATTAGTTTGATCAGGTGTGTTTAATCAGACTTGGAACTAAACTGTGCAGAGCGGCGGCCCTCCAGGAACTAGCTTTGACACCTGTGCCTTAAACCATTTGACATGGTAAAACACAATGTGCAGATCTTACTTTTCTTACAAAACTTACTTTTCAGCAAAACTCTAAACACCTTCTCATTCTCAAAACTCATTCTGCACTCTCATCCACATGTCATCCATGCTGGTTAACACAAGTAGCAACAATCAAAAACAAATAGAGAAAAAATGTCATTGATTAAACACAACCCCTCTCCTTTGATATCATGTTTTTTCGACTGATGCAACACGACCAATAAAAAACAGGTTGTTGACGGTGAAAAGGAGAGTGTTTAAGCATGAACTTGTACCTCCCTCTTTACTAGGGCTGTGTGATTTATCGAAATCGAAGCATTGCGATAAGATAATCGCAAGAGGCTGCAAGTTAAAATATACTGTATATATGTCTATATGTAAGTTGGAATAACAAATAACATCTGAGGTCAAGTGCTTCAAAACCCATCCGCTATGCTTCAGAAAATTTAATTTGCTAGACTTTCTGCGAGGCATCACAGACATGGTATTAGTTGTTGTGTGCTATGTCACATTGCACAAGAAGAAATGATTGAATCTTGTGTCATGATGTACATTTGTCATTTATGACTCCCCATGACACCCTATGTCAAGGAAATCCTGCCAAAATTGTGTGATCTGAACGGGGCTTTATAACTAGCCAATTGAGCGAGCACACTTTCGTTCTGCCAATTCAGAATTGCGCAACTAAACTACGGCCAAAAAGAAGAAAATAAAAACCAACAGGAAAGCACTCAAAAGTGGGATTATTGAGTCTGCTGCTTCAGAAGCATTAATAGAATAATTCATATCAAAGAAAAACAGCATTTGTAATATGGAGACATAGACACCGAACAAAAACAGGTAATTTTTAAGAGCTGTCGCAGAATTGTTGCCACAGCTTACAGATTGTTAAGCTGAAATTTGAATTAAATTAAAACCAGCTTGAAGCTTGAATTAAATCTTATATCAATTCGCAATCAAAATATCTGTCAAAAATAAAATAAAATCTCAATTAGATATTAATAATTAGACATTTTTCCCTAATCGCACTACCCTACTCCATACTCACCTTTCTTGAATCTGATTAAGTAGTTTTATAGATGTCCTTCAAAAAAGATGTCCTTCCTAAAAAGAGTAGGGGCCCTATCATACACCCGGCGCAATGCGGCACAAAGCGCAACGCAAAAGTTGTTTAATAGTTTTAGCTGGGCGCAATAGTCGTTTTGACTTTTTGCACCACACTGTTTAAATAGCAAATGCATTTGCGCTCATATGTGCACCCATTGGCATTCTGATCTAAAAAAGGAGGCATGTTAAGGCGAATTGCTGGTGCGTTGCTTTTTTGAGGAATAGACTACACAATAGACCAGCTAGGAGGAGGTCTAAAGTCCAGCGCAGAGTGCTTTAGTTTTGCACCTCTCTTCAACATTGGTTTATACACACAAGATGTACAGCAATACACAAATATCTTTACATATGAAAAAAAAATTAAAGGATTAAAATATTACAAAGATATTATTTTCTAGCCTACATAAATATAAAAACCACTGCCTCCATGCCTTCTTCATCTCAGGGGACTTTTCAGTTTATTTATGACAATTTGCTTTTGTATAATGTTATTATTATTAGCAGTATTATTTATTATATGCATATTTTTATTTGATTTATTTTAAACAAGCTTAGATTTGTCCACCTGTCAGGTTTTAGACCATATGGGGCACAGCATGTGTATTTGGAATTAACTCAGTTTTTCGGCAACACTTCGTTATTACTGTTCATTTATTCACTTGCTGGAAATTAGAACTGAATTTAGAAATGGTGAAGCATTCAGTTTTTACACTTACAAAATCCGCCATGTAAATAACAAATGCGCTATGGCAGGACGCAACTGACTCTTAAAGGCAATGGGACATGATACTCTAATTGGTTTATTCTCAAAACAAACCTCATCAAAATACTACTCCTCTCCACCAATCAGCTAATGTGTGGTGTGCTGTCTGGCCCAGCATGGCTGCCAACGTGTCATCCAGGTGGATGCTGCACATTGGTGGTGGATGAGGAGATCTCCACATCCACCCCCCACCCTCCATTGTGTAAAGGACTTTGTGTGTCTTGAAAAGAGCTAGATAATTGTAAGGAATTATCATTATTATTTAAAATAAAAGTTACAAATTATTATTATTAAAATTAACTTTTTTATTTAACATTAGTTTTTAGTTATAATACACTCAAAATCATTCCACATAAATCCGTAGATTTTTTGCAATATTCTGCACAGAAATAGTAAAAAGTGTCCACAGATTCTGTCTGTCTGTAATCACAAGTTAAGTGTTTAGTCATTACATTTAACTAAACTTTAACCAGTCTTAGAGCAGTATTGATAATACTCTATTATTATAATACATGTTTTTTTTTTACCTAGAACAAATTAATGTTGGTTAACTAACATTACCGTGTATTAATAAAAAGCTGTTTATTCGTTACAGTATCATTGGTCCTTGTTATTGTTCTTTACCTCTTTTAAAATATCGCATTACATCATTTATGTGAGAGTTTCTAAATATTGCAAAAAATCTGCAGATGTATGGAGAATGATTTTAAGTGTATTGTAACTGAAAACCTAACATGTTAAATAAAAATAATACCTTGTAAAATTGTATTTAATGTTTACAATGCAAATCCTATTAGATACATTTGTTTGGTAAACAAAGCAAGTCTTTTATATAATATATATTCTAAAAGACAGTAACTATTACTTTACAAAATGTATTTTAGGCAAATCATATGAACATTTTCATATTTATAAAATGACTGAAATTAATTTAAAAACTGAATAAATATAAAATGACACACATTTACACACAATTAAATAAATAGACTCAATGATGGGTTAAAAATTTGTGGAAATCTGCAGATTTCTGTACGCGCAGATTCAGTGTGGGCATACCAATACTGTATGTTCATTTTTTTCTGTATTTGAGTCAGTAGATTTATTGCCATGCTGCATGATATGAATTAAAGTATACGAATACCAAATGATGATATGTGCACAATGTCCATATGTTTTCTGTATAGCAAAAATAATTATTTATAATATCTATGTATGTGTTTTTGTCTATATGTGTAGGACCTACAGGAGAGTGAAGTATGTCAGGATGAATTGGCCCTCAAGGTCCAACAGCTGAAAGCTGAACTTGTGCTCTTTAAAGGACTCATGAGCAATGTGAGTGTCAGAAGCAAAACATACTCAGTACAAGTACACACAGCTGGCTCTACTATAAATGCATATTGCAAACTCACTGAAGCACACAGGAAATAACCACTCAATTAAAAATAGCTTTCAGGTTCAAACACTGATACCTCGTTTCCACTGAGTGGTACAGGTACAGAAAGCTGTAAAGGCGGTTCATATATTGTGTGTTTGCACGCTCAAGTTCATTATTTCAAATACAGGTTTTTGCCAAAAAATGTGAATATTGAGGGGAAACTCAGTTTATTTCAATAATTTGTTTCAAAAAGTGAAACTTGTGTGTTATTTTAATTCACTAAACACAAAGTGAAATATATCAAGCCTTTGTTTGTTTCAATTTGAATGATTATGAATCAAAGATGACAAAAAACTTCATGACAAAATTCAACATTGTAGCTCCATGTGTTTTAATCTTGTCTGCTAATGAATGCAAAGCCTTGAAATGGTCTCAGTCTGGCTTAGTAGGTTTCAAAATCATGGGAAAGACTGGCGACTTGACGGTTGTGCAGAAGACCATTATTGGAGCCCTCCATAATGAGAAAAAGTCTTAAAAGACAAATGCAAAAGAAGCTGGATGGTCACAGAGTGCAGTATCTAAGTATATTAATAGTGTGTTAAGAGGAAGGGAAAATGTGGCTGGAAAAGGTGCACAAGTATGACCGCAGCCTTAAGAGGATTGTCAAGCAAGAGTGAAAGAGGCTGGTGTCAGAGCATCAAGAACCGCCACGTACATGTGTCTGCATAACATAGACTACAGCTGTAGAAATCCATGCATCAAGCCATTCCCAAACCAAAAACACATTACAAGTGTCTGTGCTGGGCTAAAGAGAAGAAGTACTGGTTTGTTTCCTAGTATTCCCAAGTCTTTTTTTTTCAGATAAAAGCTAATTTTGGTTTTCATTTGGAAATTAAGATCCCAGAGTCTGGAGGAAGAGCAGAGAAACACAAAAGTCAAGCTGCTGAATGACCAGTGTGAAGTTTCTTCAGTGATGGTTTAGAGAGCCATGTCATATGCTGGTGTGGGTCCATTGTCTTTTATTAAGTCCACAGTCAACACAGCTCTATGCGTGTTTTTTTTCATTCATTCATTCATCCATCCATTCATTCATTTTCTTTTTGGCGTAGTCCCTTTATTAATCTGTGGTCACCACAGCGGAATGAACTGCCAACTTATCCAGCACATTTTTATGCAGCAGATGCCCTTCCAGCTGCAACCCATCTCTGGGAAACATCCATGTGTGGTTTATTTCTAAACTAATTTCGAGAGGATCATGTGCTTATAATTAACACGGCTGGCACCTTATTAGCTATGTAATCTGCTCTATTAGATGATTACTAAAGCATTATAAATAACCATAGTTTTTCACTCCAGTTATCTTTGTCTTGAAGTTCCCCCCCTTCCCCCCCTACAACAATACAAAAAACATACACCATAGCCAATCGGCTAAAACAAATTATCATCCAAGACAACCTTAGTTTACACTTCTCACACGGCGACAAGCAGTCAAACTTCCCTCTCGCACTTCTAACGGGAGGGAGCTCCGGGCTTAAGGATATTACGAGCTCAGGGCTCTCTCCCGGGACAGCATGCCAATTATGATTTATTGATTATCAGCTAAGTGTGAACTCTTAAAACCAGGACATTTTAGAGCACTTCATGCTTCCTGCTGCCAACCAGCTTTTTAGTAGATAATTTTACTTTCCAGCAGGATTTGGAACCTGCACACAGTGCCAAAGCTACCAGTATCTGGTTTAAGAACCATGGTATCCCTGTTCTTAATTGATCAGGAATTTCACCTGACTTAAACCCCATTGAAAATCTATAGGCCAATGTCAAGAGGAACATGAGGGAACAGAGACCCCGAAATGCAAACGAGCTGAAGGCCGATATCAAAGCAACTACCATAACAACTCAGCCGTGTCAAATGTGATGGTCTCCATGCCACGCCACCTTGATGCTGTAATTAGTGCAAAAGGAGGCCCAACAAATTACTGAGGACATAAAACAGTACATTACACAATTTTCTGAAGGCCAACATGTGTTTAAGATCCTCACATGAAATATTCTAATTTTGTGAAATATGGATTTGGTTTTTGTCATCTTTAATTCATAATCATTCAAACTGAAACAAACAAAGGCATGAAATATTCCACTTTGTGTGTAGTTCAATTCATCTTTATTTGTATAACGCTTTTACAATTTAGAACGTGTCAAAGCAGCTTTACAGATTATATTAAATTGAAACAGTGACAGGTAAATTTTCCGTTTATATTAGTTCAGTTCAGTTCAGTGTGTTTTCATATTCACTTCTGAGAGTCCAAAGAATAATCCATCTATGCAAGTCAGTGGCGACAGCGGCAAGGAAAAAACTTCACCAATTGGCGAAAGTGAAGGGGAAAAAAGTGAACTAATATAACACACAAGTTTCTCTTTTTCTCTTATAGGCAATCATGCACAAATAGAGAAAGGAAACACCAGTGCTAATACTTTACACACATTTAAACATGACATATTAGAGACCCTGTAAATAACTATGGAACAGGTTTTAGACAACAGGTCTCTTGACAAGAATAGAAAACCTTTGCTGTATAGGCCATGTATGTTGTGTGCTTTGCACGCTCAAGTTCATTATTTCAAATATAGACAATCGGCAAGCATAAACAAATAGAGAAAAGAAAACACAGCTACTAATTTTTTATAGTTTAAACACAAACTGTTCTAGGCCCTGTAAAAACTATGGAACAAATATTAAACAACTGGTCTCTTGACAAGAATAGAAAAACGTAGTTTGAGCATGGTTTATCACTGTTCAACTTTATAGTCTTGTTTTTTTTTTTTAATTATTATGCATTTGTCATTCATTCATTCATTCATTCATTCATTCATTCATTCATTCATTCATTCATTCAATCAATCATTCATTCATTCATTCATTCATTCATTCATTCATTTATTTTCTTTTCGGCTTAGTCCCTCTATTAATTGGGGGTTGCCACAGCAGAATGAACCGCTAACTTATCCAGCACATGTTTTATGCAGCAGATGCCCTTCCAGCTGCAACCCAGTACTGGGAAACACCCATACACACTCAATTTAGCTTATCCAATTCATCTATACCACATGTCTTTGGACTTGTTGGGAAAACCAGGGCACCCCGAGGAAACCCAGACGAACATGGGGAGAACATGCAAATTCCACAAAAATGCCAACCGACCCAACCAAGGCTCGAACCAATGACCTTCTGGATGGAAGGTGATTGTGCTACCCACTGCGCCCTTACGTTGCCTACATTATGCATTTGTATATATTATTATTCTCCTGGTTTGTTGTGTTTATAAGTGATGATTCGAAAGCAAGCAGTGAGTGAAGGACAATATTTTATGCTAGGCACTCTTACGAAATGGTTCCAAAAAAGTGGTATGCCACAGTTTGCTATTTTAGTACTTCTGACAGTGTAAACCAAAATAAATGCAAACCATGATCAACTGAACCACTCAGTGAAAACCAGCCTGTTACTACTGTTCCTGTGATTACTTGCTAATGGTTCCTAAACCATTTTTTTACACAAGATGGTACTCCAAACCATCACTTGGACAAAGCTGTGCCTAACCATTTTTTTAACCATTTAAACCAGCTGGACATCTCTATATAGGTTGTTTTCAATCACATGGGTCTGGTGATGTGTAAAATTCAGATGGAGGGTAAAGTCAGTATTTTTGCAATTAATACCATATTTCAAATGAGATATAAACAGAAAATAAACACAAATGTTGGACATGATCCTTATATCATGAAGAGCGCCTAGTTTTCTATTTAACTGAAATATATCTGCCTGTTATAGAGGCGGTATACTGTGTAAGCTGTCACATGAAAAAAAAAGTATTATAGTAAATACTAAAGCATTTGGAAGCATACAGGACTCAAACCAGCGACCTTCTTGCTGTGAGGCGACAATGCTAACCACTGAGCCCCTGTGTCGCTCACAATATGTATCATTATTTATCATATTAATTATTATATATATTGCAAATAGAGATAGTAGGTTATCTGGCCAAATTGCATGCATATGGCATTGTATATCACAAAATAAAACAATACTGCAATGCTACATTTTTCCAATATCGTGCAGCCCCAATTAAAATACTAAATATTTAATAGTCAAAGAGTACTAGGTAATAGGCATCATTGGTTGATCACATTGGTTGATTGGCACCACCAAGAACACCACTAACCAGCTGAAAAGCAGCGTATTTAGCTATCTATTCTTCACTGCATTACTTGTGCAAAGTCAAAATAAAAAAAGCCACACAGTCAGGTTTGTTTGTGTCAAGCTTGTGAACAGTGTGTGCATTCATGGCCACTACATTCATGGTACTTACAATTTTTAAAAGCATACCACAGTCATCATCACATTTTTTTTTTTAAATATATAGGAGCTTTTGTTCACAGAAATGTTTTCACACAAAGCCGTTTGCTAAGTAGAATTCCCCCACATTCCCCGATTAGCACTTTGTTTATTTCAACGTGTTTATTTCAATGCGTTTCACAGATTTATCTGAAAATGAGACATTGTGCTCCTTTGTATCAAATACTTTTCCCAGAAATGATTTATCATTTAGTTCAAAGAGTTAAAAATAGTCTGTTTTGGTGAATGAGTTCAATACACACATGAGCCGTTAGTTGTGTGTATAAGGAATGATACCCACATCACAGCTTTCCTCGTTGTTTGGTGTGCAAAAATAGACATTTTCAGTTTCACATCATCTGAAACTCCAGTATATAAATGCTTCATTGACAATGGTTATTAGTTATCTGACTAGTCTTGTTTCATATGACACCTACAGAACCTGTCGGAGCTGGACAGTAAAATCCAAGAGAAGGCCATGAAAGTGGACATGGACATCTGCAGACGCATTGACATCACAGCTCGTCTGTGTGATGTCGCCCAACAAAGAAACTGCGAAGATCCTATCAAGATCTTTAAGGTATTCACACACTCACACAAAATCTTAGTCATTATTGTTATGCTACATGTTTAACCTCCATTGCAGGCGCACAATTATTGCCTGATAAAGTCTAAATATCTTTATTTACTGAGCTATGTATCAGCTAACTAAAACAAATATATATTTTAATTTAATGTCATTTGTACAGTCACGTACTACAGAGATCTGGAAGGGACGTGATGGTGGAGAAAAAAATAGGTGCAAGAAAAAAAAACGAGTGATAGGTAAACATATTTTTGAAAGTGTTCCCTCGCAAAAATGTTTTGCGTTATCTCGCAATTATGTTTTGCGATCCCTTGCAAAACTGTTGTTCGACAAACACTTCACTTCATACATGACAACCCTCTGGTTTTTGCTGGGATTGTCTCATATTTTACAATTATTTCCTATTATTAGTTATTTTCTCATATTTCTCTCATATTTTTAATCTTGAAAGCATGTTAAAATTAATATAAAAATATCTGAGTTCACTTTCTTTCCATTTAAGCTGTGCATCTATCAGCATCTCTCATGCAACCTCTGAATTAGTGAATGCATGTATATGCACTGACTAATGGACGCGCTCCGTATGATAAACTGATCCTAGATCAGCTTCTGTACATGCCATTTAAAGTGACACCTTTGTTATCAAACAAGTGTAGAGCAGCCAATTAATCTCTCATTTTGTTTTATTTGATAACAAAAGTGTCACACAGATATATTACAAAAGCATAACCATTTGTGCTCATTTAAGAGGAATTTAGTTGTGTTTGATATAAAACACGCAGGACGTCTGAGCATGTTTACATAATAAATGTATTTGTCTGTTTAAACACACAACCCAAATTCCCAAATTGTCCTGCACTTTAGTTCCTCTTTAAATAGCGTGTACAGTTGATCTGGGAGTCAGTCAGCGCTTATACATGCATTCACTGATTCAGAGGTTGCATATGAGTGGCGTTGATCGACGCTCAGCTTTAATGGAAAGAAAGTGAATTCAGACATTTTTATATTAATATATATATGCTTTCCAGATTAAAAATATGAGAGAAATATGGGTAAATACCTAATAATAGGATGTGATGTAAAATACAGTAGAATCCCGGCAAAACAGGGTTGTCAAGTATGAAGTGAAGTGTTTGTCGAACAACAGTTTTTTGGGGGGAACGTTTGAGATAATGCAAAACAAAACATATTTGCAATATAAAGCAAGACATTTTTGAGAGTTAACGCAAAAACTTTCAAAAATATGTTTACCTATCACTAGTTTTTTTTTTTTCTCCCACCCATTTTTTTTTCTCCACCATCACGTCCCTTATATATTATGGGTCTCCGTAATATACAGATGTTAATTCCTTTTAAAATGTTTCTTAAGTGATAGTTAACAGAGCAAGGTGGTCTTGTTTTTTTAAGTTCGGTGGGAAAATTTATTTTAGGAAAATAGCAGTTTAAAAACTGCTAATGTCAATATTATTAGCCCACTTAAGATTTGTTTTTCTGATTGGCTACAGAACAAACCTCTGTTGTCCAATGACTGGCTTAATTACCCTAACTTAGTTAACCATATTACCCTAGTTAAAGGTGCAGTAGGTGATTGTCTTCAGAAACAAATTTGCTTGGGCTGGTTGAAAGTCTCTTCACAGTCCAGTAGTAATGATTAAAGTCAATGATCTAAATGCATTTGCATTTTTATATTCAGGGTAAGGCATAAGACTAGAAAATGTTCATCCGATTAAAAATTTGTTGGGTCGACAATTCCCATAATTCTGATAAGTAGCACAAACTGTCTGTCAACAAATGTAGATTTGTACATCTGCGCAGCTGTTCAGGCAGATCCACCATTTACCCAGGCACACGAGACAGTCACAGAGGTAAAAACAACTGCTGAAATAGAACTGTTTAAAATCCTGCTTAATATATTTGTGGAAATCATGTTAGGTATTTTTGAGATTTTGAGATTGAGAAGCAGCTTTTTTTTATGAAAATCATTTGTACCATTGTAAATGTATTTTCTGTCAATGTTGTCAATATATTTTACATTTGCTGAGTAAAATCAAATTCTTTCTTTACAAAAAAAAAAAAGAAAAAGAATTGCCTCAAAACATTGCTTGGTTTTAATCTCTAAATATCTCAAGTGCTTGCTTTTATTACTGTAAAATGTAAATGATATGATCTCCACGCTCCAACCAGATATTGTTTTCAGGTTTAATGTTTTAATGAAAGGAAAGGAGATTTCCTGCCGTGAATGTCACCTACGTATAATCTTGAACCTTTGTAAATCCGATGACATCCCTGCCTCCACTCTATGTTTCTGACTCAGCTGCTGTGATTTTCTGCTGATGTCTGCTTTAGTGTCACACTGAACTGATGTGTATTGCCTTGTGTGTGAATAGGCATGGGCCGGTATAAGATTATGACCGTATGATAACCTTTGTATATAAAAATCACGGTTTTACTGTATCATGGTATTGTGATTTCTGCTCTAATATATGTTCTTTTTAAATGTCTAGGTAAAAAAACACAACCTTGTTTCCCTTTGCACACAATATATTGTAATTTGGGAAACATTTAACGTATTTTGGAACAGTAAACATGTCAGGCTAAATTATTCAAATGAATTATAGACTTCTACTGTCTTTGTTAGTTTCAAAAACACAGATTTCTTTACAAATGGCATCTTTTGATATATTTTCTGCCTGAGATACTGCTGTCCTAAAAAAAAGTAAATAAAAAATATTACTAATACCAAAGGAACATTGTGGCAAAAATTTTTGAAAGTTTTAAAACCTTGACTTTTCCAAACTGCCTTGAAAACCGTTATCGTCCCATGCCTATGTGTGAAAGAGGGAGCTGTCCAACCTGCTGTATAAACCTCTGTGTATGTTTGTTTTAGTACTTGGCTGGGTTAAAAAAAAAAATTAAAGTTATTAAATGAACTAACCATCTTTTTCTCTTTCCCTCTCAGGTTCCAAGCCCTCAAAATGCCATCACCTCTCGTGCCCGTAAACAAGCCTCACAACCTGCCAATGGCAGTGAGACAGATGAGCCAGTCAGCACCTCTGAGAGTGATGGAGGTGGTGCGCGAGAGGATGAAGTTTGCACCCCTTCAACCCTCCAAATCAATGAGGAGATGCAAAGAATGTTGACACAACTGTGAGAGATTACAAATGCTTTGCAATGTTTGAACAGTGCTGCGCTTTCTAAGGGCTTAGTTTGCTCATACAAATGCTTTTAAAGTCTTTACTAGGAGTAAAAATGAATTGGAACAAAATAAAAGCACAACAAAAATAGCACATGGGTTAGTCCAAAAAACAGCAATATTCTGTTATTAATAATTGCTCACCCTTATGTCTCATGAGGCTTTCATTCTTCTTCTTAACATAAGTTAAGATATTTTAGATAAATCCGAGAGCTCTTATACAGTAATGATCCCAAGATGTCCAGAAAAAGAACCGTAAACTTTCTCAAAACATTTATGTAACCTCAGTGCTTCAGCTGTAAACAACATACAAAGCTCCAAGAAGATTTTTGTTTGCCAATAAAATGGTAGAAATAGCTTTATTTTTTAATGTTTTCTCTTCCACATCAGATCAGAGTGCACATTTCCTATGGTCAATCTAGCGTATTGCCATTAAGGGTCAGCAGCACAACACGCCGTAACAGTATGGTTAAAACGCACCCTCATCTGATGTGGAAAACAGACTGACAGTCATTTTTACAGTTTTTTTTTTTTTCTGGTCGATAAAAGTGTTCATCTGATTAAAGTTGAACCAATGAAGTCACATGGATTGTTTTGTTGTTTTTGGTTTCTTCTCAGGACTGTTGCTATGGAGGATTTCATTTAAAATGTTTTAATTTGTGTTCTGAAGTAGAACAAAGATCTTAGGACATTGGATTAACATAAGGATGAGACATTAATAACAGAATTAAAAATGTTGGGTGGAAATTATTTATGAAAGTGTTTAATCATTACAATGCAGCACTCAAACAAGTCATGTATAGTTTATATAGCATTTAATGCTTTAAAGTAGGCAGGTTTACAGTAGTAATCATAAAAAAAACATGATTAAATAAACAAGTTTCTGTTTTTTAAATTAGCATTACACCTTTAAATTCTAAACAATTGTTTATGCAAGCCGCTCTTTACAACCTATGGTTACATTTTATAGTATACAGTTTTTATAAAGTTTTTTATAGTATACAGTTTGTTTAAAAAGCATTGTCTGGCAAAATGTAGGTTTGTTTAGAAACACATTGGGATCCATGCGCAAAGTGCAAAGCGCAGGGTGCAAACGCATTAAGGGCGTGTCAGAATCCACTATCTAAATGAGTTTTAGGTGTGTTTTGAGAATAAACCAATCAGAGTCTCATCTCCCATTACCTTTAAGAGTCCGTTGCATCGGGCCATGGCACATTTGCTATTTACATGATGTAAAGTAAGTGGAAGTGGAAAAACTGAGCTTTTTACTAGCAAGAAAACAGTTAAACAGAGCATCGACAGCGTGAGAATGAGAGATAAGCCTCCTCATTATCTACTTTCACTTTCGCTCCTGTGGATAGAGAAACCTTGTACGCACAGACATCAATTAGCCTATAAATGACTAATTTTGTTTGTTAAGCGCAAAGATTTGTTTCAAAACTATTTCTAAGTTCAGTTCTAATTTCCAGCAAACAAATAAATGAACAATAGTAACGAAGTGTGGTTAAAAACCTGAGTTATATTTAAATACACATGCTGTGCCCCATATGGTCTAAAACCTGACAGGTGAGCAAACTTAACCTTGTTTTTAATAAAACAAATATAAATATGGATATAATAAATAATACTGCTAAAAATAATAACATTATACAAAAGCAAATTGTCACGAATAAACTGAAAAAGACCCCCGAAATGAAGAAGGCATGAAAGTTTGTTTTTTATATTTATGTAGGCTAGAAAGTAATGTTTTGTAATATTGTAATCCTTTATATTTATATCATATATATATCCTTATTATATATATATATATATATATATATATATATATATATATATATATATATATATATATATATATATATATATATATATATATATATATATATATATATATATTTATATATATATATATTTATATATATAATATTTTAATTATTTTTCATATTTAAAGATATAATTGCGTATTGCTCTACATCTTGTGTGTATTAAGCAATGTGTAAGCGAGGCACACAACTAACTCGCTCTGCGCTGGACAATAGACCGGCTTTGTTCGGGTCTATTGAAAAATCTATTATAGTTTCTCAAAATAGCAACGCGCCAGCAATGCGCCTCAACACGCCTTCCTTTTTAGACTAGAACGCCTATGGGCGCACATATGAGCGCAAATGCATTTGCTATTCAAACAGCATGGCACAAAATGTCAAAACGACTTTTGTGCCAAGCTGAAACTAGCAAACAACAATTGCGTCACGCCTTGCACCACATTGCACTGGGTGTATAGGGCCCATAGTGTGGAGTTTTTCTCACCTTTTCCCCTATTTCCAGTTTGCTAAATTTACTTTTATGATTTTTGCAAACTCTTTAGACAAGCAATTGCTATTTCTATTGTGCTCTATACAGTATTAAAAAACTTTATAAAGAAAACAGGAAATAATCAAAAATACAGTACCACAGAATGCTGATATAGTTAATTTGTTTGGTGAATTTCAGTTTTATCAGTATGTGTATTTCTTTGGATCAAACCCATTGTTGTGCTGCTATAACACAATTCTTTACCAGTTAGCTACACAGAACTATACTTGACTATAGTTGAACTATAACTACTAACACAAAGGGGTGCTAATATAGTCAACAGTCAGATCATATTTTAGGAAATTATCTATATTGTCATGATTAACTGCACACCTCCAAACTCAGATATTGTATATGCTTATATGCCTGCATTTTTTCCACTTGCAGGAAATTACATAGATTTTTTAATGACAATCCTATTGGGCATGTGAATTTTTTTAGATCAGATTTGTCACCAGTTGTGTCATGCTAAAGTTCAGTTGTATGTTTTAAATTGGCCTAATTTTGTTAAAAAAAATACATCACACCAATTTATTCTTTGAACTTGACATATATTTATGCCTTAATTGTCAACTGCTTTATGTGCTGTTGTTGTTGTTGTTGTTGTTTTTTATAAAGTCTTTTTGTTACTAGTGAAATGTATCTTTTTTTAGGCGTGAGTGTGAGTTTGAAGATGATTGTGACTCTCTGGCTTGGGAAGAGACAGAAGAAACGCTTCTTCTCTGGGAGGATTTCCCAGGATGCACTGTAACAACAGACACCAGTCAGGGCGAGGTTAGTGCACCTCATTTTGAAACATTGGTATTTATGTGGCATTTATTGGTATTTATTATTATATTAAAATACTTCCTCATTTAGTTAAAGGTGCCAAAGAATAAAAATCTTGATACATCAAGGCAAAGTTGACTAAGATGTATTCAGTGTTTGGAAACGACCTTCAGTGAACATTGTTTTCCTTATTCTCATGTAAATCCAGATAGCTTAACTTGTTATAACTGAAGTAAACCTCTCAAACATTTCAGTTGATTGTCATTTAAGAAGAAATGTACTTAGTTTGGACAACTGAAGTATGATTATTTTGCACTTGTATGGCCATTTTCTATAGTTGGAAATGGACCTGTTAAACCAGGGGTGCCTAATCTCGGTCCTGGAGGGCCGGTGTCCTGCAAAGTTTAGTTCCAACCCAATCAGACACACCTGCACTATTTAGATGTCAGAGAGAAATTTAACTTACTGTATCAATGCATTCTATGGCACCTTTAACATGTTTTTGCAAACATGGAAATGTTTCCATCATTAAAAGCCCTTAAAGAATTAAAGTGTGCATGTCATACAGTTGAATTTATTTTGGATAGAATAAAAGCAGTTTTAAATTTTTTAAACACCATTTTAAGGACAAAATTATTAGCCCCTTAAAGGATTTTTTCCCCCGACTTTCTACAGAACAAACCCCTGTTATACAAAAACTTGCCTAATTACCCTAACCTGCCTAGTTAACTTAATTAACCTAGTTAAGCCTTGAAATGTCACTTTAAGCTGTACAGAAGCTGTATTAAGCTGTCTTGAAAAATATCTAGTAAAATATTATTTACTGTCATCATGGCAAAGATAAAATAAATCAGTTATTAGAAATGAGTTATTAAAACTAATATGTTTAGAAGTGTGTTGAAAAAAATCTTCTCTCCGTTAAACAGAAATTGGGGAAAAAATAAACAGGGTTGCTAATAATTCAGGGGGGCTAATAATTCTGGATTCAACTGTACTGTATATGCTCTTTTCTATCCTTTTGACTTTTTTGAACCTTTGACACACTTTAATGTGACACTGGGTCATTGGGCAATGTCCGGCTGTTTGTTCAGCATATTTTATATATTTTTAATATCCTTTAATAGCAGTTAAGTTCTTGTGGGAATGTTTATTTGCAATGAAACATTAATGCTTCTTCGCAATGCCTTTGCAGTACCATTTTGCAATTTTTTTTTTACCATGTTACTATCTATCTTTACAATTAATCTTCAATCTAACAGTTTTTTTAGAAAACTAAATCTTATATTGTATCTTATTTTTGTAAAAAATAAATAAATAATAATAATTTCTTGCATTTGCTTTTTCCCAGAATTATGTTTTTATATCTTTCCCAACATTCATTCATTTTCTTGTCGGCTTAGTCCCTTTATTAATCCAGGGTCGCCACAGCGGAATAAAGCGGCAACTTATCCAGCACTTTTTTATGCAGCGGATGCCCTTCCAGTCGCTACCCATCTCTGGGAAACTTTCCCAACATTGTGTAGTATTATGCCATACATACAGTCAAGTCATAACCTTCCAATAATGCTCTGCTATTTTATAACCCTACCTTCTTTTACACTCTCTTCATTTCCTTATGTCTGTACTTATAGCTGTCTCAGGGTGCTTTCACACCTAGGGCCCTATCATACACCCGGCGCAGTGTGGCGCAAGGCACGGCGCAATAATCTTTTGGTAGTTGCAGCTTGGTGCAAGAGTCGTTTTGAGGCGTTGCGCTACGCTGTTTAAATAGCAAATGCATAAGCGCTCATTTGTGTGCCCATAGGCGTTCTGGTCTAAAAAGGGAGGCGTTCTGAGGCGGACCGCTGGCGCGTTGCTATCTTAAGAAACTATAATAGATTTTTCATTAGACCAAAACTAACCCGGTCTAAACTCCGGCGCAGAGTTTTTGCACCTCGCTTACGCACTGCTTAATACGCACAAGAGAGCAATAGGCAAATATCTTTACATATGAAAAAATGTAAATATTAAGGATATATATAGGATATAATAAGAGTAGATATAGGAAATAAATATAAAGGATTAAAATATTACAAAACATATTACATTCTAGCCTACATAAATATGAAAAATCACTGCTTTTATGTCTTCTTCATCTCAGGAGGCTTTTTCAGTTCATTCATTACAATTTGCTTTTGTATAATGTTATTATTATTAGCAGTATTATTTATTATATCCATATTTATATTTGTTTTATTAAAAACAAGCTTAGATTTGCCCACCTGTCAGGTTTTAGACCATATGGGGCACTGCATGTGTTTTAGGATATAACTCAGGTTTTTGAGCACATTTTGTTATTGTTCATTTATTCGTTTGCTGGAAATTAGAACTGAATTTAGAAATAGTTTTGAAACGAATATTTGTGCTTAACAAACAAAATTATTTGTTTATAGACTAATTGATGTCTGTGCGTAAAGGTTTCCCTATTCAAGAGCGAATGTGAAAGAAGTTCCATTATCTCTCATTCTCACGCAGTAGATGCTCTGTTTAACAGTTTTCTGTTAAAAAAACTGTTAACTGTTAACTGTTTGCTAGTGAAATGCTCATTTTTCCCACTTAGACTTACCTTGCATCCTGTAAATAGCGAATGCGCTCTTGGCGCGACGCTGCTGGCTCTTAAAGGGAATGGGAGATGAGACTCTGATTGGTTTATTCTCAAAACACACATATAACTCATTAAGAAAATAAACTCAACCCTTTTAGACCATGCACCATGGCGCAAAGCAGGTTTTCCCGTCCTTAAATTAGCAAAAACGCGTTCTGACACGCCCTGAAAGCGTTTGCGCCCTGCGTTTTGCGCTCTGCGCATGAACCGTCAAAATAGAGCCCTTAGACTTTTGTTTCGGAACTTGTCTCATTTGCTCAGTTAGCATGGTTCATTTGACATATGTGAATCCAGCAATCGTGCTCAGATCCACGCCGAATCAATTGGTCCGAGATTGCCTGAATGTGATGGTCTTGGCTCGATTGAAATGAACTCGGGAGCGGATCGATTGTAGTGAGAAAGTTATATGATCCGAGAACGGCCATATTACAGTGTATCATGGATATGTCATAGGCATATACACGGCTATATGAAGAGAGAATTATTAGTCATTCCTACCTGTAAATGTGCATTTCATGTAAAAGCCTATAATGCATAAGCCAACTGCTGTGTATCTGAAAGTCTTACCTCTGATTTATACTTGGTGATGATGTCTGTGGGTGTCACCATTCAAAATGAAAGCACAGCTTTTTGTTTATGATGTCTTTATTGCTCATCATCATACATTAAATAGAGACGCATGACAGCTGAGTGGCAAAATAAACCATGAAACTTTGACCAATGTGACGAGAGTTTACTCGCACGTGAATTGTTTTAGCATTTAAGAAACTTTGCCGTGTGAAAACGAACTGCACCAAGAATAAAGGCCAACATTGTAACAATTTTAATCCCTGTTTCAGAACAAATTAATCAATTCACAGGTGTGAAAGCACCCTCACAATCTTTTTCATGTATTATATTCATGTTTGTGATAAACTTGGGAGTTTATTTCAGAAGGTGGGTGTTTCTAATGAAAGCTAATAAGAATAAAACAGTGAAGGCATCGTGACTGACAGACAGTGGTGGGAAGAGAATGTAGTGCAAGTAGAGTAGAAGTATCTGTTGTAGACATTACTCAAGCTATGAGTAGCCCTTTTAAAGTACTCAGGAGTAGTGAGTTTTACTGTGAACAGCTAATGCATTTACATGTAATTTGTGCGTGTGTGAAAACGTCACATTCTATTGTGCAATTAGTGATTGTTTATGGCTATGTGGCCAGTCTAAACAGTCTCTGAGTCATTGCATATAAGTATTTTGGACACTTTTAATGCTATCAAACGATTTGCTGCCTTTTTATCGCACTCATGTCATGAGGTTGTTCAAAAGGATGCAATATAGTTTCTATGATTCTATCTGTTTTTTTTTTTTACTCAGCCAATCCCCATTGACAAGAAAAAAGGGAAAGTAAAAGTACACATTTTTAAAACTCCATGGGGAATTGAAATTCCTGAGGAAAACTACTCAATCACAGTAATTTTGTGTATTTGTAATTTGTTACATTACACCACTGCTGACAGATCCGCATGGTTCACAATAGGTCTCTAAAATAGAATTGAAATCTACTGGTCATTCAGTTGAAGGATTTGCACACATGGACACATGCCAACCCACACACACTGTTCATATTTAGGTCAGTCTACTCTGTCCAGTTTGCCGGTGGGCAGTTCGATACTAAATGTTACTGACATTAGTTAATGCGATGTTTGCTGAAATTGTGTTGCATTTCATGGAAAGCTCAAAGGATTCCAAGTGTTCAAAGTTTTCCATCAGGGAAGTCGTTAATCTAGTATTTAATATTCCCTCTGGTAAAATCTCATCTGCTAGTGAGTGCTTATGCTTTGGCAGTGAGATAATGTTTCTGTGGCATCTCTCTCTCTCTGTCTCTGTCTCTCTCTCCCTCTCTCTCTCTCTCTCTCTCTCTCCCTCTCTCTCTCTCTCTCTCTCTCTCTCTCTCTCTCTCTCTCTCTCTCTCTTTCTCTCTCTCAGCAGGAGGAGTGTTTGGAAAAGGTGATTAAGGACACAGAATGTCTTTTTAAGTCCAGGGAGAAGGAATATCAGGAGACTATAGATCAGATAGAGGTAAAATGTTATTTTATCTATCTATCTATCTATCTATCTATCTATCTATCTATCTATCTATCTATCTATCTATCTATCTATCTATCTATCTGTCTGTCTGTCTGTCTGTCTGTCTGTCTGTCTGTCTGTCTGTCTGTCTGTCTGTCTGTCTGTCTGTCTGTCTGTCTGTCTGTCTGTCTGTCTGTCTGTCTGTCTGTCTGTCTGTCTATTATCACCTGCAAGTCTTTATTGTACTAATTATGTAGATCATAAGGAACTATAAGCTTCTCAAGACCAGTAAGAATTCATTTTCATCAGATGTCATTCATGTCTTTTCTCAGAATACAATCACCTGTGATATCATGTAATTTTGTTTTTGCTTATAATATTTAGCTATTTTACAGTTTTTTTCTGTTGCTTTGGTATATTTATCACAACACTATTTACATTTGCACAACAGTCAATGCATTTCTCAAAACAATTAGCACAAACTGCAAAACCTAGTTGATAAAGCGCAAAAGCATGTGTTTATTTCAATGAAAGTGTCATTGTCATCAAGATGAAAACTCCTGCCATCATTGTTTATGAACAAGAAAGTCAAATGGCTTTGTCATGTTTTATTATGAGTTTACTTTGTAAAATTCTTCCAATGCAAAAAAAAGTCAGATTTTGGTTAAACTTCCTGAAAATGGTCAAGACAGCACTATATACTATTCGCACAGCCATATGAAAACTACAGTAAAGTTAGACATATCTGCATTTAGTGAGGTATCTGAGTACAAGTCACTGAATATGTATACAGTACTTCACATCTTTACTGCAGATGCTCTTTGCAATTCTAATTTATTCACAGCATTGTGCAAAAGAATAAATAAACTCTTTTTTACAACAAACATAAACTTCCATTGGGTAGAGCTGTGCACAAATGTAAACAATATTGCAGTACATATTGGAACTGAACCTACAACATACACAGGTCTGTAAATCATTCATGAAATTGTTCAATTTAGAGGACATTTTTAGGGAAAAAAAAAAGATTTTTAAAGTTTTTTTTTTTAATATATAAAATTAGCTTCACAGATTTAGACAACTAGGACTGTTAATTTAATATGGAATGAGTATTCAGCATGCACAAGTTTAGTTAATTTTGACTGACATGACATAAGCAAATGACAATGTTATAAAACAGCAAAGAGTTGTATGAAAGCAATTGATGCATGTCCAAAAGCATTTGTAATTTGTTGAAAGGAATGAGAAACTGCTATTATGATGTGCACAAATGACTAATTGTTTTGAGAAATGCATTAACTGTTGTTTTATATGTAAATGTTTTTGTGAGAAATGCACCAAAGCCACTGAGAAAAACTAATATTTATTCAATACGGTTATAATGATATTTATACATAATCAAACTAGTGTGCAACTGAGCAGTTTTGAGCAAAACTGATAATAAAATTGTTTTAAATTTGGTTTTGTAATTTGGGGGTCTAATAAATTGTTGTTGCATGGTCTAAATGCGCTTAATAGATATAAAAAAATGAAATTTAAAAATATGATCATATAGGTTTGAAACAAGTAATGGGGAGTAAATGACAAAAACGCAGACACACACACACAAAGTTTAATGTATTGAAAAATAATTGAGGAAAATGTTCAAACTTCTTTTGTCAAAAATGATAACAAACGGAAAAGTTATGCTGTTAAATCATTTCACCTGAAGTGGTAGAGTGGTAGACGTATTTTATGTATAAGGAGTGAGTGAGCTTTTTTATACTGATATTACATTTATATTTAACAAAGAATATACTGACAGTATTTAGACTGACTCAAAAATCCCAAGTCTCCCAGAAGTTCCGGGAGTCTCTATGCATTTCTGGGAGTGTTAGTTAAAAAAAGGAACCGGAAAGATATTAACTTTCTAACATTTATTCAAATTTTGTTTTTAAATAATCAGAAAGGAAACACAAATTCTTCTCTAGAGCAAACAGTAAACACAAATAAAATTACCTTGCCTTTCTGTAAACAAGTTGAACTCAAATTAGGAAGATAGTGTTGCTTATTATACAAAATAAATAAATAAATAATTATAAAAACACAAAACACTCAGCAAACTAACATGACTGATAAGAGCCTTTATGTAGCTTATATTGTCTAAAAATAAATAATTATCCCAGATGCTACACAAAATATCATGACATTAAACGTACAGCTGTGGTACTCTAAAATAGCTCAAATAAGTGTGAGACGAAAGTGTGTATCTCCTATGCTGCATTTAGATACGTTTTTTTTAAATCCCTCTTTGGTCACTGCATCAAAAGGCACCGTGTCTTTAGCGAGGTAGTGCGTTATGGCATTAGTTACCTCTTGGGTAGGATTGCGCTCCAGCTGGTCGTAAGTAAACAAATTATGTTTATATAGTACATTACAGTCAGTCACTACAGATGACTCACATACTGTACCTGCATAGTGAGCCATGAATGCCTGCAAAAATACACATGAAGTTATCAAAGCATTAAACTTACATTTTTTGTGACTTTGAAACTAAAATAATCCCATATTACTGATGTCCTGTTTTTCTTTGATATTAATTTGTCTATCAAAGCTTCTGAACTGGCAGATGGCATCATCCCACTCTTTCTGCTCTTTCATGTTTGTTAGTTTTTTTTTGTTTCTGTTTATTTTATTTTATTTTATTTTTTGTGGGTGTTCCACACAGTTACGTTGTGCAATTCAGTTGAAATTACAACATGCATGCAATTGCTCTGGGCGGGGGAAATGAAATAATACATATTTCATATCGCAGCCTCTTGCGATTAGCTAATCGCAATCGTTCCAGAGCGCGATTCCGATTTGATTTCGATTAATCGCATAGCACTAGTCTCTAATACTCTTTGATTAGTTGGATCATGTGTTTGATTATATCTACTTTAAAACTATTTATAGAGGTGTCAGGACTGAAATTTGATTATAAAAGCCTATCTGATTAGTTTAACATCATCTGTTTCTCTGTAGTTGGAATTGGCCACAGCAAAGTCTGACATGAACCGTCATCTTCATGAGTACATGGAGATGTGCAGCATGAAGAGAGGACTGGATGTGCAGATGGAAACCTGCAGGAGACTCATCACCCAGAGTGGAAACAAGTATGCATATTATCTTTAATCATAGATGGCATTTTGACACTTTTGTTGGCTTGGCTTAAGTTTTGCACACTTTTCATCCTGTGTTCTTGAAACTAAACTTTCAATACAAGTTTCTAGCATTGTTGTCATATTTCATTTACATTGTCTGCTTATTTTATTCAACAAAACTAGCATACGCCTACTATTTAGTGCGAGTTTGGTGTTAGTTTGTCTTATGGTCAATGCAGTAATACACTGTATTATCATCAATACCTGTTAAGCACAAAAGTTCATAACATACAAAATAGTAAAAAACTAAATCTTACCAATGAAATGTTAAGCCTTTGTGCTTTGTTTTCTTTGTTTGCTTGTTACTTCACCTGTACACAAAAGTCCAGCATTTTCAGATTGCTTTTAGTCTTGACCATAGATATGTACACTAGATATCACATACGGACCCTGAGCATGTGTCAGTAGTGCTGCCAGATTTGTACAGTTCTTAGAGGACAAATGTTATTTCTAGTCAAGATTAAAGCCAATGCGAGGATTCTGGACTTTAGCGCTTTGTACGGGTGTAGTAATGAGCAAACAAAGAAAACAAATCATAAAGGCTTAACATAGGTAAGATTTTGTTTTTAACGAATTGTATTTTCATAATACTGTCTCTTACTGCACTGACCATAAGGCAAAGCAGCACTAACTCGCGCTAAATAGCCTCTGCTGGGTCAGTTGGCATTTCTGTGTGGATTCATTCCGCTGTGTCAACCCCAGATTAATAAAGGGACTAAGCCGAAAAGAAAATGAAGGAATGAATAAATATTAGAATGAAATATACAAACATTTAGAAAAAAACAGCATACTATAGTTGTATGGGTTTCATTTTAACAAAGTTATTAAATTACAAAATTAAAAAAATAGTCAAAATGACTACGTGTTATGCTTCTTTTACACCGCACACACAAGCAGAGCAGAAGCAGTATGCAGGCATTTGCCTGTAGTGTCTGCAGTGTGCACCTTACCGACAGCTGTTGCACACATGTAACTATCTCTGTGTATTATATCAGATTCAAAATCAGAAAGAGCTTTATTATTCACACATATGAGGAATTTGTTTTCGTGACAGAGCTTCTACAGTGCAGCAGAATTACAGAGACAGGACAAAAAGATAATAAATATACATATTTCAAAAAGAAGCAAGTAGTGAATGCAAATATACAAATTGACAAGTGTATGTACAGATATATTACTATATACAACAATATACAGTATGTGTAACTGTAATGTGCAAATTGGCATGTAAAGTATGCTGTTAAATAAGTGTATATGTGTATAAAAAGTGTATAGCAAGTAGTGATGTTTCATAATTACTGTCATCTAGTGTTAATGATAGTTTGAGATAGAGAGATGGATTGCCTGAGAGAAGAAACTGTTTCTGTGCCGGGCTGTTCTGGTGCACAGTGCTCTGTAGCATCGACCAAAAGGTTACCTATCTCTAAGGTTACCTATAACTATATCGATCTATCTTTGTATGAAAACATGTTTTATTTTAACTTTTCATCTGCACCACAGCCCACAGCAACTTCCTCCAAGTCTTTTCTTTAACCTGCAAGTCTTTTTTACCAATTATATAGATCATAAAGAACTGTAAGCTTCTCAAGCTCTGTAAGAAGTGGCATTCATGTCTTTTCAGGTACACTCAATCGCCTGTGATATCATGTCATTTTGTTTTTGATTGCCAGCATGACACTGGCCTATAGTTAAATTATCATTTTAATACATTTTGTTTGAATGCACCAAAATGTATTTCCTATGTTCACCGAGAAATGGATAAAAATATTAATTTTCAAAATGGGCTGTTTTAAATTATGCTGAGCACTGTATCATGAATAACATCCGTGTATATAATTCTCAAATAGAAACTATGCATGCAGTCAGTTTGTCTGTCTGTCAATCAGACATGCATTAGTGTTTCCAGTATAACAATGGCAGGCGTTTAGTGCTTTTTTTTCTTTTGCCCAGCATGTAAATGCATTAAACTGTTTTTGTTGACTTATTGATTTATTGACAATAACTTGTCCTTGCTGAAATTTAAGCACATTCAGACTGAGTGAACATTTTGCAGTAAGTGAAGAGAAAACTACTACAATCTAAGATTGTTTTTTAACCCAATGATTTATAAAAATGTGTTCTCATCTAATGCCGAAGTGGTACAGTCAACCTGCTTAATCTCTAACTGCATGATAGGATAATAGATAAATGACATATATTGATAATATTTGATTATTCATGTTATTTATTTCCATAGCGCTTTTACAATGTAGATTGTGTCAAAGCAGTTTAACATAGAAGTTCTTGTAAATTAAAACCGTGTCAGTCCAGTTCAGGTCAGTGTGGTTTACATTTCACTGCTGAAAGTCCAAACACTGAAGAGCAAATCCATTGATGCACAGCTCCCCAAGTCCTAAATATGCAGTGGTGGACAGAGTACTGAAAAATCATACTCAAGTAAAAATACTATTACTTGCCTAAAAATGTTGTGCAAGTAGAACAAAACTATCTGTTGTAAATATTACTCAAAGTATGAGTAAAAAGTAGCCCTTTTAAAAGTACTCATGAGTATTGAGTATTAAGCTATAATAAGCTGATGCATTAACATGTAATTTGTGGATGTGTGTAAATGTAACATTCTGTAGTGCAATTTAATTTAATTATTGCCCAGCAGGTACACAGCGTCATGAGATGCTAATATTAGGGTAGATTTAGATTGTGACATCAGGTGACCAAAATTCAAGTCTAGCTAGTCTCTAAGGACTACGTTATTTTGATGTCCAATAACAAGGTCAAATGACGTTGATATTTGGTTGATTTTAGGTTGTGTTGGAAAGTGACCACAATTTAGTGTTGAGCCAACATCTTAAACCAACGTCATATCGAGATCAAATACTGAAATTTATTCATCAGGTATGGCAACCAAAATCCAACATCTGATAGACGTCATAGTTGTAACGTCTACACAACAAAAACGGTAACATCATTAAATGTTGATATTTGGTTGATTTTAGTTTGAATGTTGGACACTGACATCAGCCTGACGTTGAGTTCTGATGTCAACCTAATTTTAATTTTCAAACAAAACGCAACATCCATATGATTTTGCGGTATGATGTCAATCTAACGTCATGTTGACGTCTTGTGCCTGCTGGGTGGTTAAGGCCATCATACAGTAAACATCTGTCATTTTCTCATCAGTGACATGCATCTAAACAGTCTCTGGGTCAATACGTGTAAAGATTTTGGGCATATTGGACACTTTTAATGTGTCCAAACTGTTTGCTGCGATTATAAATAACCCCTGTCTTGAGGTAGTTCATTATGATGCGATTTACTCATTTACATTTTAAAAATATACTCAAGGGAAAGTAAAAGTACACATTTTTTGAACTACTTAGTAAATTACAAGTCCTTACAGTAATTTTAAGTATTTGTAATTTGTTACTTTACACCACTGCAAATATGATGATATATACTCCACTCACACAGTCTGCTTGTTACAAATATACAGTTTATGATTGTTTATCTGTTGCTAAGCAACTGATTTATTTTAGGACCATTTTATTTCACGCTCCTTACCTCTGGGTTTCAGGACATATTTTTTATCATGGTTAAAGCTGGCCTGAAGATTAAAAAAAGACATTACCTATATTATTTTTTCCCAAAGAAGAAACGAGTATATTTGGGTTGATTTCTTTTTCCTTCTGCCACCTTACAGTAAATCCACTTCTCCTATACCTGGAGGGGGTATAGATACAAACGGAGAAACTGAGAGAGATAAAATGGAGGAAGGTGGAAGATAATGACGACAACTGATCCGACGATGGTGTTTGAAAGAAGAAAAAGTGTCTCTCATCTCTTCATGGCTTCATTTAACCTGGACTGGCTCTTCTTGTTGTGTTTCCGCATGTTTGTCCAGTCACTCTAGAGGGGGTAAATGGAATTACATTGTAAAAAAAAAAAAAAAAAAAAAACATGTTCTGTGACATTTTCCCTTCTGGTACGCCTTTACACCTTTCATGATTTTAAAGATGAGAGTCCTCTCTTAAGTTTGTTTGCTATTATGTGACTTTAGCAAGCCTATCCGCCAGTGAGTATCAATCATGTTTTCCGATCTCATCTCTGAACGTCTGAGTCATCATATTTTCAGCAGCGAACACAATCACTTTTGATTTCGTATGTCTGGCAGAGAATCACTGACAGTGTTTTACAAAGTTTCCATTTCCTAGAGAATTTGAGGGGACATTTGCTCTCGAATCATTGCTGCATGTACCGTTACGTGCTGCTGTAACCCGTGGGCCAGTAGGTGTGTTGTGCTTCCTGTCTGAGCTGTTGTAAACACAAGGCTGTCATGCTAGTTAAGGGTTAAGGTAACTGTAGCCTGCACGTTCCCCATCTTTGAGCTCATGTTTGCATGAAATGTGTGACATTTCATGCTAACGGTATTGTGCTGATGCCAGGCTGCTTCGAAGTTTCGGCTATACGCTGTTAGAATTGTGAACTCTTTGAGTTCCTCTTTGCGGGTGGAAAACATGAGTGATAGGTGAGGTCAGATGAGTGAGATTTGAGGATGTTATGGCTCGGAGTACATGTCAGAGCATTACGCATGTCAACCGCTGTGTTATTTCCTTTTCACTTTTCCTCTCCTTTTAGTCCCAAAGATATGTTATATTCAGCCTTTTTCTCTGCTGGTGCAGATAGGCTTCAGAATAAGAATTTCATGAACATGCTGTACATGTAACGCTGCTATAGAAATGAGAGCTGCTTCAGTCCATAAAAGTATGTAGTGTTTTAAGGGTGTTTTTATTTTGAATAGTAAAGTCCCACTTTTGCCATTATTCTCATTTGTATCCATAGCTAAATCCTTACTGGTGCCTGATGTAAAGGTCTGTTGATTTGCAGTTGTATTGGGAGCACACTGCCTATGTTCTGTCAAGAACGAGTTATTTTCATGATCATGGTTTCCTTGTTCTTTTGGAGTTTTAGGCGCATCCCATGTTGTTAGAGGTCTAATAACAATGACTTTAGAGATGGGCTAAAGAAATATAGGGTAAGAGGTGTTTGACACTACATTTTAACAGCAGGGTGTAATAGAAGCCCATCTCAGAGTTGGCTTTTTTAAAATAATTGTTTAAAGTTTATTTTGCACAGTTTTTCTTTTTTCACATAATTGCAAGGTTATATCTCGCAATTGTTTGTTACTTAAAATATAACTTGTAATGGTGACTACGGTATATCAAATTTGTCATCATTTGCTGTTATTCTGACGGTATCGTACAATTGATTTAAAATCTCAAATATGCATCTTTGCTTTGTGTAGTTACATTTTATATTACACAATTGCAACTTTTTTCTCATCATTTAATTTTTCTCACAATTGTGACAATGATTAACATAATTGTGACAAAACATCACATCATGATTCCATATTTTTTATTGGTGTTTTTTTAAACTCTGAGATGTAAATGGAGAATAAATGTGCACATCAACTTTTTATAAGCATGCCTCAGATTAAGATTTTTCCAGTATAATGAACCCACATAGTATGATATTACCCTGCAGGCACAGGACATCAACATGACGTCATATTGATGTTGTACCCCAATGTTGTGGGAACGTTGGATTTTCTCTTGAAATTAAAATCACGTTGACGTCAGAACCCAACGTCAGTGTACAACGTTCAACTTTCAAATCAGCCTAAAATCACCCAAATATCATCGTCTAATCATGTTACACCTTGACATTGTATGGACATAATCACTATGACATTTATCAGACATTACATTTTGACCACTTTCCAACACAACCCTGCCTCACTGAAGCTAAGCAGGGCTGAGCCTGGTCAGTACCTGGATGGAAGACTACATGGGAAAACTAGGTTGCTATTGGAAGTGGTGTTAGTGAGGCTAACAGGGGGAGCTCAACCTGTGGTCTGTGGGAGCCCTAAAGCCCCAGTAAAAAGTAAACGGGACAACAAACTGTCAGTGGGTGCTGTCTTCCGTATGAGACATTAAACCAAGGTCCTGACTTCTTGTGGTCATTAAAAATCCCATGGCACTTCTCTTAAAAGAGTAGGGGTGTAAGCCCGGTGTCCTGGCCAAATTATCTCCATTGGCCCTTACGATCATAGCCTCTCATTCATTCACTTCCCCTATAGCTGGTGTCTGGTGAGTGCACTGGTGCCATTGCCTGTGGGTGCTGTTGCATTATCCTAGTGAATGCTCCACACTGGTGATGGTGTAGAGAGACCCCTTCATGATTATGAAGCACTTTGAATGTATGGCCATCCACGATAAATGTGCTATGTAAATACATTATTATTATAATACATTATTGGACTTCAAAATAACGTAATCTTAATAGCGTAACCTTAGATGGTGGCTGTCATGACCCAGATCTAACCTAATAATAATGTCTTATGATGTTGTGTGCCTGCTGGGTAATAAACTAAAGGTTTAATCGATTGAAGAATGAACTCATGGATCTCTATATTTTCAGAAGTAGGTCTAACAAATGGCTTAATGAGCATATTTTCTTTCCAGGCAATCTACAAAAGTAAGATACTGGTTGGTTAGATGTGCTGCAGAATGATCTTTCAGTTTCTTGAGCAGTATATCATGTAAATTAATGCGCAATCTGATTCCTGATAAAAGTTCTCAAGAGCCTCACATGATTTGTAATAATCAGTCTAATTCTAATCAAACACCCACAGGGACTAATACAGTAGTTTGAAAAGAAACTGACAAACCGACTTCTTGTTGGCTTTGTTGGTCATTCATATCTGTAGTCATAGCTAGTCTAAGTGTAAACCACAGCTTGCATTCAAGAATAGAGACTTTAGCAGAGATATTTTCCAGTGCCAAATAAAACATTCAGGAAAGCGTCTACACACGAAATGAAAACTGCTTTTAAAAACATGGTGCTGTTCATCCAGCATGTACATTTCCGCTGCAGTAAAAACAAAGAGTGAATGTTTTAGTAAACACATGATAGTACATATCACTTTCTATGATGAGCCAGAGCAGAATTGAATCATTTGAACAATATGTTATGAGACATCCTCAGGTTATTTTTTCTTTTTATCTTGTTCTATTTTTGCATAACGTCTGATGAACAACATTGTGTGTCTGCCTTAGGTTTTCCCCTCTGACCACTGTGAAGTTCTGTCGGGGATTTGCAGATTTGTTCGATTTTGCTGAAGTTATGCTCTATGGGTATATAGAAACAGCCTTATGATATTAAATAATATTTTTTGTTTGATAAAAGTGCAGAAAAATCAAAGGATTTTGATGATTGATTCATTAAAATGTCAAATATGGTTTTGTTTGTTTTTTTTTGTGACTGATTTCTGCTGCCAATAAGATGTGCTGTACACAACTGAGCCATAGTTCATTCACAGTAACTCATTTAATTCCTTTTTTATTGTTCTGCATCACTGAGCTGAACTACGTGTGTAAGATTACAGTATGTATGCATGCATTTATGTATGGAGCGAACACTCCAGGTTTCTGCAATGAGTAAGAGGTTATTTTACAGCAATTTACTTGTTGTTTGTTGCTATTTGACCTAGAACTATGTTCAGAATCAATAATCACAAATCTATTCTTGTATAAAAATTGCAAGAGAGTCAGACAAATCTGTCACGGGAACAGAATACATTTTTTCTTAAAACGTTTGGATACTACAGATTTACACTATACTGTAGCTACAAACAACTAGTAAATTCCACAAAAAGATCTTCACCGACCTAATAACAAAAAGTGCTTATAGAAAGAATGCTTATTTGCAATAAATGTATGAATGCAATGATATTGTAACCTAGAAGACACGAAGGGAGAGTTGTGTATGCTAAAACGCTGGCTATGCAAGCAAGTCCTGAACCTTGACAAGAAAATTAAAACATATACATTTGAAAGAGTCTAAATGAATGTCTGAATAACATTCATAACTTTCCTGTGCCATTCAGTAACATCTCGCAGGAATGTTTATCAACATGTCAAACTGTGGAAACTGATGTATGCTTATATTTAATGATCTCCAAGGATTCACTTTAAATTGATACATGTGCAAAGTGATTGAGTGTCAGATGTTATGTTAAAAGTGTTTTCTTCCTAGACTTACTTGAGTATCTTAGGGGAAGGAATAAGACCTGGATTGCAGCAGTGGCACATGAGTATATTGATTTAAAGAGTAACACACTGTAAAACCCAACAGGCCACTTTATCAAATAAAATGAGTTAATTCAAAATTGACTGAAAGTTAATTCTACTGATTTGAAAAGAGTTTTAAACTCAGTGTTGAGTTCATTAAATACCCTCTTACTTCAACTTAAATAAAGTAATATAGATTAATTTTTTTAACTCAAATGGTTTGTAGCAATCGGTTTCCTCAAACGGTTTGAGTTGCCTTAACTTACTGGGTTTCACAGTACTCAGTTGGTTTGAGTTCTCTTTATATACTGGGTTTTACTGTGCTCAGATTGCTTCGTTTACTCAAATGGATTAAGTTCACAGTACTCATTAGGATTTGTTTTTGAACTGAAATGGTTTGTTGCGATTGGTTTCCTCAAATGGTTTGAGTTATCTTAACATTTTGGGTTTTACAGTGCAGGACTATATGTATATATATATATATAAATATGTATGTAATGCAAAGCAGAAAAGAAATCGCTTGCTTTCACTTCAAGTGTATTGAAAGACTGGTGCTTAAAAAAAAGATTTCAGAATAAAGGTTACTGCTGATCACACTGCGAGGAGTGGAGTTTTTGTGTCATAGTCTGTGTTTTTCTTTCTATAGGTCATTCTTTCCTCAAAGTTTTTTTTCTGTCTGTCTTTTACGCACTTAATTGTTTAATGAAATAATGCTGTAGAAAAAGTCACAAGAATAGGTATAAAGATAATTAAAAATATTAAAGTTCTAGATATTTATAGATGTTTTGAAGTCTTTTTGACCATCTTTTTTTTATCAGAAGGTTAAACTAAAATGTTTACTATGAATAAAACAAGATTTTTTTTATTTTATTTTACATTTTGAGTGCTCAGCATATAACTATATCCTTATAAGTCCTTATAAATCTATCTTTTAAATTCATTATTTTAATAGGACGCTATACAGGTACAATATTTTATTTGTGCGTATACATTAGATCAGTCAGCACTGAAGCCAAAAACTAGTACACCTATATGTTATAGAAAAATATTAAATACAAATTTTAAAAAGAGGAAAAATTGAGAGAAGCAAAAAATGAAAAAGTTAATTATTGGTAGGTTGTAATTTTTAATTTTTTGCAATATTTTGTCTAAATTTTTAAACATGTTTGATGACTAAAATATTATTTTAATCAATATATTTGTTTGATAAACCTGTTTCATTTTAATGCACCAAAATACACTGTTTATATTCACTGGGAAATGGACAATAATATTAATTTTCAAAAATTATGCTGAGCACTGTATGTATGGGGAGAACACTCCAGGTTTCTACAATGAGTAAGTGGGTATTTCACAAAAATGTACTAGTTGTTTGTTGCTATATGACCTAAAAATATGTTCAGAATCAATAATCACAAATCTATTCTTGTATGAAAATTGCAAGAGAGTCAGACAAATCTCCTAGAAATATGTTCAAAATCAATAATAAATTGCAATAAAGAGAATTTCAATTGTAAACAGACAAATTGCTCATTGCTCATTTTAAATAGAAGAAGTGTATTTTATTTGCAGCTTCACACAAACATGAGTTCATCTATGTATATTTTATATAAAACATTTCAAAACTGCTCCAATTAGACTCACAGTTTGCATCTTCTTAGCCTTATTCAAACCAGTAATAATGACACATCAATTATTATTATAGAATGTAAAGCTATAATCTCTCTCTCTCTCTCTCTCTCCAAAAGCAGGTGAAGGGCAGCATAAGAAAGAGAGGGAGGAGAATGACAGTAAGACATCAGGTGAGGAAACAATGATATGAGATGAGCAGTAAAGAACACAGCCTGGCAGAAGACACTGAAATTGAGTTTGAAAGCGGAGATTTTGGATTTGAACTACTGTTAAGGTACAGATGCTTTTTCATTGAGATTGCAGTTCTTTTGTTTCACTTACTGCATTATTCTAAATATGCTTGTTGTAAGATGCTGACTAATTTGTATTATACGATGAACTAAAATAAGTAGAAGTCAACCAAAGCTTTGTTTGAGAGACACAAATATACTTATCCCAAGTTCCTCTGATGCAAAATGGTATGTTTATTTAAAAAAAAAAAAAAAAGCTATCTTTTCCTTATTTAAAAGTTTCTTTTCTAGAGTAGGCCTATGTGATGCTGTTCGAATGAATGTATGATTTTATTATTTACAGATGCGTACGACTGTGTTATCTGTAGCCTTGGTGATGCTGACAGGTCATCTGATATATGGCCTCCCTATGGTAAATTTGTATGCTCCGATAACATCCACTGTATGTGTTATATTGTGTTAACTTCATGTAACTTGAAATTGTGTTGTAAAAAGCTCTTTCTTTTCAAATTAATCACTTCAAAAATTAATTGTGTCCATATTAGAGGCTTTAGCTTATGATTTTCTTGTGTGTTTCCATTTGTTTTTAGCATAACGGAAAGGTGAGAAACGGCAGAGAAGCATCAAACAATTGCAGCGATAGTTGTCCAGCAGGTGAGAAAGCATGTTGAGCTGGTACTTTTTTATTAGAATCATATGTGGTATCACATTCTTCGAATTATTTCCTTGTTTTTGCAGTGTGCGTGAGTGTACTTTTCTGTCACAACACTTCCCAGTATTACGTATGTGGTCTGGTCAGGAAATTGGCTAAGAAATCGATAGTTATTTGTTAAGTTTGTCTTTATCGTTCGCTCTTTTTTTTCTTTCTCCCTCTCTTCATTTTCTCTCATGATGGGAAATGGTTTGCTCTGACACAGAAGAGTAAACCACTTCCTTCATTAAAATGCTACTGCCGGTTTGAGCTTCTCTGCAACGTCCTGTTTTTGATGCTATTTCTCGTCTCTCTTCTTAAGAGACCTCAGTCAGCAAGTATGACTTTGTGCACAGAAGTGTGTGTGTGTGCGCACATATATGTGAGTGCATCTGTCTGCTGAGCACCCACATCCGTTTTTTAGAGATTCAGCATGTGCCCTTTAAGCGGAGTTCTGTGCACAGTCAAATACAAATTCAGTTATATGCACCTTGTGTTGTGGATCAATTTGTCAGCAAAAGTGTGTGCATGCAAGTCAAATTAAGACAAATGAAAGATAAAGTCATATTTCAGCTATTATATTTCATTCAATTATGTTTTGAAAACCTTTTTTGTGCACCTTAGAAATTTTTCATTCGCTTTGTGATGAAAATAATAAAGTGGTAGAGCCTATTTTAAAAAGACAAGCAATTCAAATATGCAAGCAAATGTTTTTCTCCTGTCCACCTTAATGTTGAATACAAGCAAGCCATTTTATGTCAATGTGGAAGACATATTCATTGGCTGACTGCTAAACAACTAGATATTGTAGTAAACTAAAAATATCTGCACTACAATTACACGTGTGTTAAAAATAGTGGCAGTCGTTCACACAAGATGTGTTTTTCCAACCAGCTGAATACAATGTGGAATGGAACAGAATGTTGTGGTTCAAAGTTGAACCTGTGAAATTTTGAAAATCAAGAGCTGCCCACTTTTATAGCTACGCTTGTTATACAGCATATACAGTTGAAGTTGAATTTTAGCCCCCGTTAAATTTTTTAAAGAAAAATTTTTATTTCTTAATTCATATTTCCCAAATTATGTTTTGAAGCAAGGAAATTTTCACAGTATGTCTGATAATGTTTTTTTCTTCTGGAGAAAGTCTCATTCGTTTTATTTCGGCTTAAATAAAAGCAGTTTTAAATTTTTTAATCGTCATTTTAAGGACTAAATTATTTGACCCTTTAAGCTCATTTGTTTTTAGATAGTCTAGAGAACAAACCAAGGCTTTACTTGCCTAATAACCCTAAACTGCCTAGTTAACCTAATTAACCTAGTTAAACCTTTAAATGACTCTTTAAGCTGTATAGAAGTGTCTTGAAAAATATCTAGCAAAATATTATTTACTGTCATCATGCCAAAGACAAAATAAATCAGTTATTAGAAATGAGTTATTAAAACTATCATGTTTAGAAATATGCCAAATAAATCTTTTCTCCGTTAAACAGAAATTGGGGCAAAAAATAAACAGGGGGTCTAATAATTCAGAGTGCTAATAATTCAACTATTTTGACTATACACACACACACACACACACACACACACACACACACACACACACACACATATATATATATATATATATATATATATATATATATATATATATATATAATATTATATTAAATATATATGTATATATTAAATAATATAATTATTATTAATAAATTATATAATTATTATTAATAAATGTATGTATGTAAATGTATTTTTTTTTGTACAATTTATTTACAATTTTATAGCAATCCCACAAACTTTATAAATGACTCTTTATTAATATTGTAAAAAAAATATGGAGTAATATAATATTATTGATTTGAAATTGTTGGTTGTATCTACAGTGTACAAATGATATTTTTTAAAGTGATATTTAAAGTATATTTGAAGTAAATTATTATTTTTTTATTTTATTTGTTAGTGTTTTTCTATTTGGATGCGTTTTCTTAAAGTCACCATGACATTTGCTCTGAGTTTTATATTTATACAGGGCTGCCAACTTTTGATCTTAGCTTGGAGTGAGAATGTATTCCCCGCCCATATGCCCTCAAGCCCCGCCTCCCCATTTATTTATAATATGGAAAAACTGTAAACATATAAGTTTGATAAATACTTTAAAAATATAATTATTATAAATAAGACTATTATTATTATTATTATTATTAATATTATTATTATTATTATTATTATTATTATTATTATTATTATTATTATTATTATTATTATTATTAATAATATTGTTGTTGTTGTTGTTATATAATACAATTATTCTATTCTAAGTAAACAAAAAAAATCTATTCTTAACGTAACTGGAAAGCAATGTAGTGAAACTCAAGTGATATGCCAAGATCATTTAGGAAAAATTCCATATATTGTTTAATATTTTGCTCTGTAATAGAGACCAAGTCAAAGGACAATGAATGAATGAATACTATTTTCATGAGAATGAAATTTAAATGTGCATCTATTAACTTAAATTGATTAAAAAAGTACTAAAAAATATTTCATGGGGATGATTTTTCTATGTGTGAAAATGAATGTGTGGTGTGAGAGCGTGAGAATACTGTCAGTTGTGTGACTCATTACATGGAATGCATGAGAGTTGGCAGCCCTGTTTATATAGTAGTACTTTTTTTCATTATTTTGTAAACAATAATTTTGTTCTCATAACCTTTTTTCAGATACCATAGTCTTCTTGACCCCATCAAAATGCCTTTTTTAAGCTATCAGAGCACGTCTCCTTTCTGCTTTTGCCCATCAATCTTCCTTCATTTTGTTAGCAACACCATCAACACCATCTCTAAATTGAATGTACATATGATATGAAAAAAGAACAATCTTACTTTCGTTTCATGCCAACTTTGTTTTAAACAACATTATATATAGTTTTAAACACGTTTAACTACTGAAAATGAGTGCTTTTGAGCTCTCTCGGCCACCATAGCAAAACCTTAAATGCATTTGTGCTTATATTAGACCAGGGGTGCTCAACACTGCTTCTGAGGATCTATACCTTCCTGCAAAGTTCAACTCCAATCCTGATCAAACACACATGAACCAATTAATTATGACCTAACAGACAGGTGTCTTTGCTATCGGTTGCAACTGAAATCTGCAGGAACAGACCTGTAGCCAGGGGGTGGTTAGAGTGGTTTAACTGACCCATTGACAAAGTGCAGAATTTGCCCCCATATGAGCTGATTTGTCCCATTTTTGACAGTATGCCATCATAAATTGTTAACATACCCGTTAGAAGAAGGCTTTAGGACACATTTAGTTTTTAATTATTTAATTTTACAATTTCTGACTATGGAAATGAGCTGGCCATTTTGTTATTTACCTATTCTACAGTTTTTAATATGTTTTAGATGGTTTTTAATAAGTTTTAACAGATTCCTAATTGTTTTTGTTAATAATGCATGATAATAAATTTGTATTTTAAAAATAAGTCATTCTTCATACTTTGTTCACATTTTTTATTTAAAATTCTGATCTCATAATATTGTTTATCAAACTGTAATAACATGCAGTATTTTGTAAAAAATTTTGCCCTCATAATCAAATACCATAAACTTCCCAACCCCATCAAAACAAGTTTTTTTCAGCCAACAGTGCACGTCTCCTTTCTGCTTTTGTCCAGTCGCTGAACTTCCTTCATTTTGTTAGCAACACCATCTTCTATTTTTCTCATTTCAGGACCTTTTAAATGGATGTACATATGATATGAAAAAAATGACAATCTTAACTTTCATTTCATGCCAACTTTACCTTATAAACTTTAACTTTATCATATACAGTTTTAAACACGTTTGACTAGTTTAAACTGAAAATTAGGGCTTTTGAGCTCTCTTGGCCTCCATACAAAAACCTGTAATGCATCTGTGCTTATATTAGACCAGGGGTGCTCAACCCTCAAGCCTGTAGCCAGCCTGGTGCAAGAGGTGATTTTTAATTTTTTTTAAAGTTATACACCTTATTTTGTATTTAATTATGAGATTTAAATACTGCTGTGACATTTTAAGTGTTTTTTTTTTTTTTGTTTTGTTTTTTTCACTGGAGTAGCTTGTTGGACGGTCATCATAACCACACAATAATAATGCAGAGCATCACAATTTTTGTTCCATGGATTCATAGATAAACAAGAATCACCAAAATATCTTTCAAATCAGTTTTAATATTGTCCGCTTTTGGTGCTTTTTACTGGTCATTGATTGTTTCAAAAGTAGGCCTAATGTCCAAGTTTTAAAATAAAAATTACTAGTAAAATGTTTTCTCTATTTAAAAACAATGCAGTTGCGAAAGATGACTTCACTTATGTCAGATTGTGTTTTCTTATACCGCTGGATGATGGACTGGATGATGGAAAAATAATTGTTTGCAATGAACAAAACTGAACATCACACTGAAGCGACAGCCATCAGAGGATCTGTTTGATCGTAAAGCCATTTTTTATGGGTTATTTTTGATTGCATAGCAGTCAAAATAGGTCAAATGAACTCATGTATGGGGCAAATTCTGGTCCTTTGTCAGTAAAGGGTGGGTCTTCCGAATTTACTTACTGTAAATTGTAGACCCGGAGCAGATTCTTGTTCTATGATATGAAATAAATGAAACTTATGCTGATTTTGAAAAGCACTTTTGGAAATGTCTGATGAAAGGCCATTTTATTAGGAAACACTGACACCTGATAAATCTCAAATAACTAATGTGTATTTAAAAACTTAAATGGCTATTCTTGTGAGTTTTAAATAAGCTGACCTTTACCTTTTTTTTTTCTCAGGATTTTACAAAGATGATTGCAAATGTCATCAGTGCAACCATGATTTCTTCAATAATAGGGAAAATGAAGACAGTTGCACCCGCTGCTTTCAGAGATGCACACATGGTAGGTAGCTCATTTCACTTAATTATTCTTTAACAATATGAAGTAAGAATAGAAAGAGAAAGTCTGACAAAAGGCACTAAATTTTGAAATTGTGTGTGTGTGTGTCAGAATTCAAAATGGAGAAGGTCAAGGAGTGCACAACCACGTCAGATGTAGAGTGTCGCTGTCAACGTGGATATACATGTGCCTCAAAAGATCAATACACAGGCCAGTGTGAAAGCTGTGTTCCCAACATCACCCCAGACCCCACACCATTACCCCAGTCCTACACCTCCACTGACATAAGTTCCAAGGTCCCTTCATCCACTCTTTCATTCAATGGCTTTACTGACAGTCCAATGGGTGAGCATAGCTGTTTTCTCACAGTAACGTAGGTGTGTGCACTATTATTTTCATTAGCATTTTGAATTTCTCCCCCTGTAAGAAAGGTACAGTACATTCTTATTTAATTATTTATTTATTTGTTTTTTTTTTATTCTAAAAAACACAATGTATGTGTAAAATGTGAAGAAAACCATATGTATTGTTATTATTTTTATTCCTTTTTTAAATAAAGTCGTTAAAGATTAGGTTTGCCATATTCTTCCTAAAATTGGGTTAAGACAACCCAGCAGCAGTGCTTGCTCCTTAAAGTGGATTAAGGGTCTGCCACTAGGGGGAGCAGGAGGTGGTGTTGAATACTAATCGAGGTGTTAACGCCACTCTGGTTCCAATCAATTTTTTAAAAAAAGCCAATAGTTTTCCATTGAGCTTTGGATTACTGTGGAAAGTAAGCTCTGTCTTACACCAAGAACATGTTCCTGGATGAACTTTAGAGAAGGTTATGAAAGTGAAATACAGAAGTAAAAAGCAGAAGTTGGGTTGAGAAGTTAGCTGACTACACCAAAGTCACGTTGCTTTACCACTACAAGCTTCTGAAAGTTCTTTCAGTTTTATTTTGGAAATACCTATTGCTTGATTAAGTCAAGATGCATTGCACTCTTTGTGTGTGACAGACAGACAGACAGACAGACAGACAGACAGACAGACAGATAGATAGATAGATAGATAGATAGATAGATAGATAGATAGATAGATAGATAGATAGATAGATAGATAGATAGATAGATAGATAGATAGATAGATAGATAGATAGATAGATAGATAGATAGATAGATAGATAGACAGATGCCATATGTGCAAATGTAATTAGTAAACAAATTGACATTTTATGTTGATATATATTTAATGCAATTCAATTATTAAGATTATTATTAATTAATTAAGATATTAACTATATTAAGATTAAGACACTTTTATCTTCAGGTTTTTAATTTTTTTTTAATAAAACGTTTAAAATGTACATCCTTTGATATCCTTTAACAGTAACACGTTCTGTTTAGCAACTTGTAAACAGCCTTGCCTTTTTCACAACACATTGAAGCCAAAAAAAAACCTGTTTACTTTGGTTGTGCTTGTGTTAACCACAGACATTTAATTAAAAACCTGATGACATACAGATAGATCCGGAAGTGAAAGAAAAAAAAAAGTTGTAAGGCTCCTGCAGCATTGGGGTTAGATTAATTTTGCATTCTCTTTTATGAATGTAGTTGAAATCAGAATTATAAAAAAAAAACCTCTGAGTTATTAGCCCCTCTGTTTATTTTTCCCTAATTTCTGTTTAACGGAGAGATTTTCTAAACATAAAACTTTTACTTTTACATAAAACTCATCTCTAATAACAATGATGACAGTAAATAATATTTTACTAGATATTTCTAAGGCACTTCTCTAAAGCTTAAAATAATATTTAAATGCTTAACTTAATTAGGTTTAGGCAGGTTAGGGTAATTAGGCAAGTTTTATGTATTTTTACAAGTTTTACAAGTTTTGTATAACCATGGTTTGTTCTGTAGACTATCTAGAAAAGATAAGGCTTAAACGGGCTAATAATTTTGACCTTAAAATTGTTTAAAAAAAAAAAAAACTGCTTTTATTCTAGCCAAAATTAAACAAATAATACTTTCTCCAGAAGAAAAAATATTATCAGACATACTGTGAAAATCTCCTTGCTCTGTTAAAAATCATTTGGAAAATATTTTTAAAAGAAAATATTTTTTTTTTAAAGGGACGCTAATAATTCTGACTTCAACTGTATATATCCATGGACACTTGTTTTGTCTATATTTAGGTTTTAGACTCTTTCAGTTTAGCACAAAGATTTCATTTCCTTAACTCATTTCCTTGTATTTTTTTCACAGATTACAAAGATTACTTGTTATGGACTTTATTTGGACTCATTTCCTCAATTCTATCCATCATCATCCTCACGCTGATCCTCCGGTTCTGCAGTAAGAAAGAGAAGGAATGTTTAAAGCACAGTGAGTAACAGCCACACATAATTACAAACGCATTTCTTTTTGGAGATACTATTATCTTACCTCTCAATGTTTCATCTCTTCCTCAGTTGTCAGGCAGTGCTCATTGGGAGCAGATGTAAGTAAGAGGTAATGTTGTTTATTTCTAACCTTTTTGTTTGAAATATCTAACTTACAGTCCTTCTTCAGGTGGACAGTGAGGTCACGCCTCCCAGCCAACCAGATGAGCAACCTCATACCCATGAAATGTTGTCAGATGTCTGCTCACCAACCAATCACAACACAGACCCTTTTCATCAGCCAGTGAGCCAAGAGCAAGCTGTTCCTCCAGCTGGTAATTTAGGTATTACAAGGAGTTTCCTTTTTTAATTTTCTTCTGCTATTAAACAATCAAAGACACAATGTTCTTTTTTCAGATCTATTCATCTGATTAAAAAAAAAAAGCTTTGAAAACACCCATCTTACTAGCATGAAGTGGGTACATAAAAACATTTATTAACAAAACTGCTTCACTGTGTATATTATTAGGAAAATATTTGATTTTTGATGGAAAACCATGTAGTCAAAGCAAAACATCCCACACAAATAAATAAATCTGAAAATAGTATACATTGCAGAATCTCATGACTGAAAGACAAGGTAGTAATAGTTAAATAGCCTGATTTATAATCCACACACCTACAATACTGAAAAAAGTGATATCTGCAAAATTGTTGCAAACAATTTGTGTTGAATTAAAACAAATTAAATTTAGTAATGTTCAACTTATTTTTTTTCGTTTAAATGCAACCACTTAACTTAAATAAAATGAGTAAATCTTGGGAATCATTTTTAAACCATCTTTTCAGTGTATGAAAACTCTCGATTTGTAGTTGTTAAAGTTTTACTGGTGACTTACAAATTTAAAATGTGTCATTTAGAGCATTTAAAAAATAAGTAAATAAATAAATGACAAACAAGGGTGGCATGTTTTCAGATGTGTATAATAATTTTTAGACTTTTGTGTGTGTAAGTTAAAAAATCTAATTTTAAGTACTTTGTAACATGAGTAGCAGTGCGATGTGAATGTATATCGACACTGGTGAGAGGCGTAGACCGCAGACCGAGTGCCTTGGTGTCCCACCAGTGACGATATATAGCCATTTCGCACTGCTACGAGTGTGATATTGCATTTATACAACGGTTTGAAGGCATAATCTTGTATATAAAAAAGAAAATGAAACATGGAGAGTCTAAAAATCCTTTTGTATGAGGATTTACTTTTTTCCGTCATTTATTCACATCTGCAACTGACGTCAGCACAGAAGAAACCGTTACTAATTCTCAAGTGTCACATTAGAGCTAGTATTTGAATGATTCTCTAGTGTTATATCTAAAGTGATGACAAAACTGTTGATTTTGCTCACATTTTAGGATTATAAGGCCGAACTGCATGAAATGCCATCAGTTTTGAGACATTTCCAGTATTTCTCTGTTGTTATTAGAACATAACAATAATGAACCCCGAAAAAGTCAAAGCAAAATAAACACTATCAGATTGCTGTTGTGCTTGCGAAAAGGAAAAAGGCATGTGGGCATTTCTTCTTTCTTTTTACTAAACTATTCTGCAAAAGGGGGCAATCAACCTGTGGTCTGCGTGAGTCCTAACACCTCAGTATAGTGAAGGGGTCTCTATACTGCTCAGTGAGCACCATTTTTCAGATGACTCTCTGTGGTCGGTAAAAATCCTAGAATGTCCTTCAAAAAAAAGAGTAGGGGTTTAACCCTGGCATTCTGGCCAAATTTGTCTAATGGCCTTTGTCCATGATGGCGTCCTGACCATTTCCATATCATAATTGGCACCTCTCCAACAATCAGCTGGTGTGTGGTGTGTGGTCTGGTGCAATATGGCTGCTGTCGTGTCATCCAGGTGGATGCTGCACACTGGTGGTGGATGAGTAGATTCCCACAATAAGCACTTTGATTGTCTAGAAAAGCTCTATATAAATGTAAATAATAATAATAATAATAATAGGTGAGGCAGTGGCGCAGTAGGTAGTGCTGTCGCCTCACAGCAATAAGGTCGCTGGTTCGAACCTCGGCTCAGTTGGTGTTTTTTGTGGATGTTCTCTCTGCCTTCTGTGGGTTTCCTCCGGGTGCTCTGGTTTCCCCCACAGTCCAAATACGTGGTGCAGGTGAATTGGGTAGGCTAAATTGTCGGTAGTGTATGAGTGTGTATGGATGTTTCCCAGAGATGGGTTGCAGCTGGAAGGGCATTCGCTGCGTAAAAACTTGCTGGATAAGTTGTTGATTCATTCCGCTGTGGCGACCCCGGATGAATAAAGGGACTAAGCCGACAAGAAAATGAATGAATGAATAATAATAATTATTATTATGATTATGAGTATGACATGAATATGATTATTATTATTATGCTCTTATTAACTATTCTGCAGTAATGAAAACAGGAGACTCATTAGAAACAAACAAATGGCCAACCAAAAAGTAACTCAGGGTTATAAAAACAGTGGCTAAAATACAATACATACATTCCTGATATGTGAGTCCCATCTCACACTCAATACACCACAATTACTATGGTATAAATACAGCACTACAACATAGTTAGAAATTATGTGTAGTTTTTCTCCTTTAAGGGCTTATTATGTGGTCTCTGTCACCATCTTGTGGATAGACAATGCCAGCCATTTTTGCTCTGCTCAGTACAGACTGATAAATAAATATTTAAAATAGGCATTGTCCTTAAATTAACTGCATAGTTGCAATCTAAAAAACTACATTCTAGCCTTAAAAAGGCCTCAAAAGTACATTATTTTGTCCAACAGCTGCAATATTTGTCAAACTGTAGTGAGTTTATTGATGTGCTCTCACTGTATGTGGGTGGAGTAATACAGAAGTGTGAGGAGGCTGTACGAGTTCTGATATTGCATGGCTATCAGCCAATCAGATTCAAGAACCAGACAGAATTGTTGTATATATTTATACTGTAAAATTTTTATGTTTAAAAAAAAAGTATAAATATTTGTTTACATTTTATACAAAAACATAAAATAACGGCAGTTTAAATCACAGAAATTTACCAGAAAATTACATTTACGGAAATTTCTGTTATTTAATGTTTGTTATTCTATGGTAAATTCTTGTAAATTAACGGCTGTTATTTTATGTTTTTTTTAAATATATATATATATATATATATATTAGGGATGTAACAATATTGTAAAGCCGTCATACCGCAATAGTAATTTTTTTCAATATTACCGTAGGAGGATGACTCAATAAAACTATATTTCTTTTATATAAAAAAAGTATAAATATTTGTTTACATTTTATACAAAAACATAAAATAACGGCAGTTTAAATCACAGAAATTTACCAGAAAATTACATTTACGGAAATTTCTGTTATTTAATGTTTGTTATTCTATGGTAAATTCTTGTAAATTAACGGCTGTTATTTTATGTTTTTTTTAAATATATATATATATATATATATACATATACATATATATATATATATATATATATATATATATATATATATATATATATATATATATATATATATATATATTAGGGATGTAACAATATTGTAAAGCCGTCATACCGCAATAGTAATTTTTTTCAATATTACCGTAGGAGGATGACTCAATAAAACTATATTTCTGAGAAAAGTTTGCTTAGGCGAATGAAGGGAACGGGATGTAGCAGGAACTACAATTCCCATCAGCCTAGGCGTGGCCATCATCCTTTGGTGTCTGTTGTCGCTACAGATCCAGTAATGCAGAAATAGAGTGTGTTGCTAGTAGCGTGGAAGAAAAAGAGCTGGAAATGATCAAACCTAAAGCGGGTTTTAAATCGGATGTGTGGAAGTATTTCAGTTTCTTTCTAAAAATATATGAAAAAGGAGAAAAGGTGACAGACAAAGAAAAAACAGTATGCAGGCACTGCCAGACTGTGGTAAAATATAAGTCGGGGAATACGACTAAAAACAGTCATTGGGACTGCAGAACACAGCACTCTTGTTAGATTGATGCAGACATTGACTTGTACCGCAAAGAGACCTCTATCTCGCTCATGGCTTGTCCTCTCAAGTGGTGGAAAGACAATAAACAACGTTACCCACTGCTGTCAACCTTGGCTAAATCATATCTCTCTGTCCTAGAAACCTCAGTCCCAAATGAGAGGGTTTTTTATTTCTGTTGCAGGGGACATGGCCAGAGATCCCAGCTTTTATCAGATTATAGTTAGATGATAATTTTCCTTAAAAAACCCATCTCTATCTAAGTGTGTGAGTGATTAAATGTTAAATGTACTGAGTTTTCAACAATACTAAATTGAAATTTTATTTTTTTATATGGTTTAATAGTTTTTTGTTATTAAAATTAAAAAATTGAAGTTCCTGTTTTGAAACTTTTTAATTTGTATGTCATTAATATGTTGAAACCTTTTAATTTGTATGTCATTAATATGTTCAGTGCTAAGGTAAATAAACACTTTTGGCACTTTTTTCGAGTCTTTTCATTAGTTTTGTTTTTCCTGTAAATTATTCAATAAATACCGTACCGTGCTATTCATACCGAGGTCTTATCGTACCGTGAAATTCTGATACCGTTACATCCCTAATAGATATATATATAGTCGTACCATACAATATTCTATATATATATATATATAGTCGTACCATATATGTATTTATTATTTGCATAGATAATCCTTCTCTTTGACATAGAGCATGTAAATGACAAAAAAAAACTTACCGATGTAAAATAAAAAGTTTTTTTTTTTTTCCCATATAGGTCCTCTTCACATCTACGGCCCCCAGACAGTCTTTGTTAGCTTGCTCAATCATTTTGCAGGAGAGCAAAAAGCACACGAACAGGGCGAATCTCTAAACAGCAGTAGCATGTCCTACCCTCAGTCTCCCCCCGTCCATCTCTCAGAAGAAGAAAGAAGCGGAGAGGACGATTTCATCTTCTTTCCATCTCAGGAGCAAGGAAAAGAGTGCCACATTTCCAAAGAAGAGGTGCTATGAGGAATCACAGGAGACTTCCCGTTTCTGTTCTTTTTCCGTACTGTTCTGCTGCTGTGAGCTTTGTTCTACCTGCTGCCTCATGAGTGTTCAGTATTAAAACTCTAAGCTTGGCAGGGGATTTCATTGAGAGCAACAGAGAAAGATCTGGCCATCTGACTAGTAGTATGGATGACAAAATTGATGCGCAAGAGCTTGACAGTTTATGCTAGCTTTGAAATATCAGTTTGTACTGTCTGTTTATCTATGCTGAAGTTTGTTTGAAGAGTCGAGTGCACAGGCTTTCAGGTCTTAGGTTGGATAAGTCTCAGGAAGAAAAGAAAAAGTGGAATCTTTTTTTCTTTTTGCTTGTTTTAAGTGTTTGAAGGCAATAAGCAGCTCTAAGACACTCAAAAATTCTCATATATGATAAAATATTTATTTTAGTTGAAGCATCATGCTTGATTTCTAAAGAGACTTAATATGTTTTTAATTATGAAGCTGGTTGTGTCTTGACAGTTATGATTTTTATTTATTTATAGCTGTTAAACATTGGATTACAATTGTGCGAAACAGTTTTTTATGCTTGCACAAGTCCATGGCTGATGTTGTCATTGTACTTCCTCTTTTCTTAAATTATGTGGCAGATATGATTGATCATCAAAAAAAAAAAAAAGAAAAATCCCTGACATTTTGATGGTGGTCTGAAAATGTCAACATTGTTTCTTCTTTCAGAACTCAATAATCATGGCGCACACAGTTTATCTTGTGTTATGTTTGTATTTGCTGTAACACATTTTTATAACCGTTATTAAATGTAAAGTGCAATATGATGAATAAAGTTTTATTTTTGGTATAGTTCATTTGCATGATTATAGACTGCAATACAAGTTATTTACATGAAATATTTCTTGGAAGTGACATGGAAGTGACGTTTGACATTTTTTTTAAAGAATATTTTGCTGATTCTTTTATTAAAAAATAAAATAAATATTAATAATAATTGTTATTATTTTTATTATTTTAAAGTTATTTAAACATTGAAAAAATACAAACATTACAGAATGATATCTAAGTATATAGCTAAAATAAACATGAAAAAAATTACCCATTATTCGCATGCTTCCACCAAATGTTGATTCTTTTATAAAAATAATAATAATATGATAATAATAATTATTATTATTTTAAAGTGATTTAAACATTAAAAAATGCAAATGTTACAGAATCATAAATTTAAAATAAACATGAAATATACATTTGAAATCAAAATTTTTTGCCCTCTTGTGAATTTTTTCTTTTTTTTTTCAAATATTTCCCAAATGACATTAAAAAGAGCAAACACATTATCACAGTATTTTCTATAATGTAATTTCCTATAATATTTGTTTCTTCTCAAGAAATTCTTATTTGTTTTATTTTGGTTTGAATAAAAGTGATTTTTCATTTTTTTTTTAACTTTTTAAGGTCAATATTATTAGCCCTCTTAAGTAATATTTTTGTTAGAGTGTCTACAAAGCAAACCATTGGGCTAATAATTCAGAGAGGTTAACAATTCTTCAAATGTACATTTGAATGAAAAATCTTGATCTTAAAAAAGTCCAGGGGCACATTGTGCGCAAACACCCCAGTTATAAATACAAACAAGTGCACAGAAAAGAAAACACATTTGTTATAAGAAAATGAGCTGTATGTGAAAAGTTGTGTTTGTCTTTATGTGAAGTGGGAGCTCAAATCTCTCTCCGTCTCAGCATTTCTCAGGATGGACCGTCATTCTGTTCTCTCGTAACAATCTGGATGATCCACCTCAGTGCAGAGTAAATGGCAGCAGCAGGTTTGTACTAGAGTAAATACTCAATACTCAGACGCACCAGTGGTCTTCTTTCTCCTCTCTCAGACATCCTCCAGTTTCTCGGTCTTCCCACACATCTCCTGCACTGGCATTGGGACCTTTTCTTCCTCTGTGCACTGACTGGATAAAGAGTTGCTCTTCGTATAGTACCAGAAACCTGACGACACAGTGGGATACTCATTATTAAAAGCTGTGATGCTTACATGCATTATTGAATTCTGTTATGCGGTATGTATTTAATATATGAAGCCGTGGAAGTCACAGAGTTTTTTTTTTTCATCACCATGTTACAGCTAACCAGAGAGGTATTTTTTTAACGTGTTTTTTTTTTTTTTTTTGCTATATCTCCAGGTTTTCTTAAATGGTTTTGATACATCAATATGATTTTGATAGAATTATTTGTAAGTACTATTGTTTTGCAATCTTTATATTATATAATAATGAGGTTTCTGTGTGGAGTTTGCATGTTCTCCCTGCATTCGCATGGGTTTCCTCCTGGTGCTCCGGTTTCCCCCACAGTCCAAAGACATGCGGTACTGGTGAATTGGGTAAGCTATATTGTCCGTAGTGTGTGTGTGTGTGTGTGTGTGTGTGTGTGTGTGTGTGTGTGTGTGTGTGTGTGTGTGTGTGTGTGTGTGTGTGTGTGTGTGTGTGTGTGTGTGTGTGTGTGTCTGTGTGTGTGGATATTTCCCAAAGATGGGTTGCGGCTGAAAGGGCATCCGCTGCGTAAAAATGTGCTGGATAAGTTGGCGGTTCATTCTGCTGTGGTGACCCCGCATTAATAAAGGAACTAGCCAAAAAGAAAATGAATGAATATTATATTATATTATATTATATTATATTATATTATATTATATTATATTATATTATATTATATTATATTATATTACACTGTAAACATTTGACCTTAAATTCACAATAAATTACTGGTTAATAATTGCATTACTTTCACAGTAAAAATTAAGTAGTTTATAGTAATTTACTGTGATTTTGTGACATTAAATCGCTGTAACTTCACAATAGATGGTAAAGTCTATTGTTGGGTTCTCACAGTATTGTCTTGTAGAATAACTATATTTTACTGTGAAGCAGGTGTTCTTCGGCTACTCATTTTGACACTAACCCTGACTTTGAAATTATTTTGGGTGTTAAACAGTGTTTCGTTTCATGAATTAATTACTTTTGTTCCAGTTTATTAGGTTGTTGGCTAAGCACAGAGTTATGTTCATTAAAAATGATTTCATATTTCCATGTTAACCTTATAAAAGTAAATAAAGGTGCAGTGCACCCATTTTTAATTTTAATTTACTATGACATTTGTTTCGTTACAAAACAGATTTTTTTTTTTTTAATTCAAGAAGATTTTCTTTTTTTGAAGATGGAAACAAATTGTTTTTGGGGCTGCAATAACATTCTGTTATTTCTTAACATCTAAAAAGTACTAATACTAGCATAAACTTTAATTTGTAATAATTTTGAATGATATAAAAAGAGTTTGAATTCCTATAACTAACATGCAAAAGATATAGTCTTTTTTTTACAGTAATTTGCTGTAATCATGCAACTCGCCCTAATTTTATTAACATAATTATGAATACAACACATTACTGTCAATTTTTACAGTTAAATCCTGTAAAGTGATACTAATGTAATTTACTGTGAAAAATTACAGTAACATGTTGTGAAAAACATGGACATTTTTACAGTGTATATTATATTATTCATTCATTTTATTTTCGGCTTATTCCCTTTTTTAATCTGGGGTGGCCACAGCGTAATGAAGCACATGAGCACGTTTTACGCAGCGGATGCTCATCCAGTCACAACCCAACACTGGGAAATATATTATATTATATTATATTATATTATATTATATTATATTATATTATATTATATTATATTATATTATATTTTATTATATTATATTATATTATATTATATTATATTATATTATATTATATTATATTATAATGTCCATAGACTCCAAAACCAGTTATAATGATAAAAATTTGGAAATTGTGTGAATATTAGGAAAATTACCTTAAAGGTTGTCAAAAATAAGTTCTTGGCAACGCATTTTACTAATCAAAATTAAAGTTTTGGTATGTTTGTTTTCAATTCACTAAAACACATAAACTTTGACTAAAATGTGTGTAATTTCCAGTGCATTTCTGAAAGATGTGTGGTGAACACATCGACTGAACATTTAATCAAAACAACAGAGAAAGTTACTGTAGTCATGCCACTCTGCATAGTGGTTGAGGTATAAAAGCTACCAATGGATTTTTACACTTGTGTTGTGTGTGTGGTTTAGACGTGCTCATTTGCTTCATGATTAAAATATAACTTTCTTTCAGTTCTGTTTGTTGCAAACCTGTGTTATCAAAAACAGGCTACATCAATAAAGTGAATTTACAAAAGTATTTAATGGAAGTGTTTTTTTTTTTTTTTTTTTTGTTGGTACCTGAGTTGTGATAAAACTGTTTTATTATTGTTTCTTAAATAAAATAAAAATGTACATATTTTTTTAAATCACATTTTTTATTCCATTTTTTAAATTTACAATTAGTCAACAACTGATAGAAATACCACCTCTAGCTTAATTCCTACCCTGCAGTGTTTGTATAGCTTACAGCAAGGCATTTACTTACGAAAGTTTCACTTAGGGGAGGGGAAACATGGATGTGTCAACTGTTAAGCCAATCCCACATCAACTATTGGCAGTTCTTGGTCATTTTCTGTGCTCTTTAAAAACTCCTGTTAACAGCCGAATCACTGAAACTTTAAAAGCAATTTATAGGGCCTTTAACTGCCGAAAAGGCTTTTCATTCAGTGAATACCAGTGCAAACACAAGGTTTTATGGTCCAGAATCACATATTTAATTTAATTTAATTTAATTTAATTTAATTTAATTTAATTTAATTTAATTTAATTTAATTTAATTTAATTTAATTTAATTTAATTTAATTTAATTTAATTTAATTTAATTTTCAGCTTAGTCCCATTATTAATCTGGGGTTGCCACAGCGAAATGAATCGGCAACTTTTCCACCATATGTTTTACACAGCGGATGCCCTTCCAGCTGCAACCCATCTCTGGGAAATCCAAACACACTCGTTCACCCACCCCATGGACAATGTAGCTTACCCATCTCACGTATAGTGCGTGTCTTTGGACTGTGGAGGTAGTGTAGTTTTAGAAACGCTATGATAAGTATTATTTTTATGATGAATTGTTATATTATTTATATTATATTACATTTACCACCATCTTAAGAATGATGGAAAATTCTTTCATTTCATTTTCCATTGCTTTAGTCTCTTAGGCTTAGTTTTTATTATTATTATTATTATTATTTTATTATTATTATTATTATTACTATTATTAGTAGTAGTAGTATTAGTATTATTAAAAATGTATCGAATAACAGGAATAACCTAATCACATTTTATACCACCAGATACAGTGCTCAGCATATATAAGTACACCCCTCACAAATCTTTTAAATTCAGTTTTTTAATAGAAAGCCATTAAATATCATATTTGTGCATATACGTTAGATTAGTCTCTACTGAAGCCAAATCTGGAGCTTATCTAACAAAATAACTTAAAATAACGGCCCAAAAACTAGTACAACCAAATTAATGTTGTAGAAAAATATAAAATGCAAATTTTAAAAAAGAGGAAAAAATCAATAGAAGCAAAAACATAAAAAAAAACTTTAGTTGAAATTTTGTAGGTTGTAATTTTATTATAATTTGTAAATTTTTGGCTTGAATTTAATTGTTTTATCTTTCAATTTCTAAATATGTTTGATGACTTAAATATTATTTTTAATTTTATTATTAGTTTTGTTTAAATGCACTAAAATACATTGCCTATATTCACTGAGAATTGGATAAAAATATTATTATTTAAAATGGACTGTACTCAATTATGCTGAGCACTCTAAGTATTTATGCAATGAAATGTGTGCAGCAAGCAACCATGCATGAGAACATATACAAAGAGTGCTTTCTCAGCAAATGAAAGCATTGATGAGCACCACTGACCGGTTGATGCTGACATGATCCATCCACATGGTTGTGCATGTCTGCTGGTGAGAAGGAGACAGAGGAACAGAAAGCACAGACACACACACGCTAAACACAGACTCACCGAGATCCACACATTATCTGGAAGAGGTTGATAGAAAGGGTGCAAATGGATGGAGAAAGGGAGAGAGAAAGAGTGAACAGGTCAATAGAGAACACCCTTAATATACTCTGTGTGTGTGTATCTGCTTGTTTTCAGTTTTATGAGACTGACACCAGTGCTTCAGGGTTCAAAACCTCACCATTGGTGGCCGGTGGAGAAGTCGTAGTTTTCTGGAATCTCATCCTGCATTTGCTGTCATGGCAATTGTAACCAGTTGTCAGACGGTTGTCAAATGGCATAACTGCAAAATCAATATGAAAAGGTTATGAGCAACTATTATTTTTAGTTTCCTAGTTTCTAATACAGCGGTACTCACTTATTACACTCACTTGTTCGTTTCACATTACTTTTTTTCAGAGTTTGAAAAATGTAATTTCCATCATATCTCATATCTCGATATCTTCCCATCATATCTACATTATGTGGAAATCATAATGGTGGGAAAATGTATGCTACACTGTAAAACTCAATAAGTTAAGGTAACTCAAACATTTGACTGCAACATCCTATTAATCCTATTGAGTACTGTGAACGCTCCGGTTATTAAAGCAACCCTCGGGGAATGAGAGTTACTTTAGTAATCGGAGCGTTGCCCTTCGGGTTTGTGGGGGGGTGGGGGGGGGGGGGTGGTACTTCAATGCTATGTGGAAACTTCCAATGGGGAAATGTATATAAACGCCACAATGATTGGACCTTACCTGGCACTTACTTATCCCACTTCAGCAGAACTTTTATAGATTTAGATCAATTTTTCGGAAGTTGTAAATTTCGATGAATTTTTTAATATGATAATACATTGGGAAAACGTGCAGTACCGATAGAGAGGATGCCATGGAGGCACCTGCTGCTCAAGTTGGGAGACCTGGTGGCAAGAGGGCATATGGACTCACGCTGAGAAGGGAGAGTAAACATATGAAAAAGATGTTTAGCTGTGAGCGAAGACACGGGACTCACTGGGGAAACGCATATTTGCGCATGCCTCAAGGCCAGCTGTGGGCCAGTGCATCAGTGCTGAGAGCCCTCGGTCAGGGAAAAAAAAAACCCTGGCAATGAGCATTCTCGGAGGAAGCAAACAGATCGATCTGAGCTTTCCCGAATCGCGCCCATATCAGCTGAACAGACTCAGGGTGGAGAGTGTGTGGTACACGGTAGAGCTCACCCAGAATATGAATGGCGCGCAGCAATTTCAGTCGTGTATCACTTCAGAGGAGCAGTCGGCGAGCAAGCTGAGACATGTGGTGAGAGCGGATACCCCTCATACGGTTGATATAAGCTACCGCCTCAGTTATCGCTCCAGCCACTGGTAAAAAAAAAAAGGTCGGAGAGCAAGAAACACTGCCAACAGCTCTGAGCAATTGATATACCAATACAACTGGGTTTCTCTCCATAGGCCCGCAACACATGGACCCCCAAGACCGTGCCGGAAGCATTATTCGAACGATAATATGTCTGGACCCCTGTTCTAGAGGCACTACGGCCTGTAGGAATGCGGGGTCATTCCAAGGGCTGAGGGCGTGGCGACAGTGCAGTGACAGTCACCCAGTGTGTACCTGCGTGTCATGCGAGTCTTGGGATTCGATCGTGTAGCCAGTGCTTAAGTGGTCTCATATGGAGTAATCTGAGCAATATATTAATATTTAAAATATGTGTTGAATTTAAACAAACAAATCAAATGTAGAAATGTTGAACTTAATTTATTTGATTAAATTCTGCCCACTTAACTTGTTTACAACCACTTAACTTAAAAAAATTGTAAAACCAAGGAATCATCTTTGAATATTTTTTTCAGTGTACAATAGTCCATGAGAAAACATTTGTTGAATTTAGTTCACAAGTTAACATACTCATAATTCTTAATACTGATGGTATTAAACCCTTGTTTATTCTGAACATTTAAACTGTCTGGTGTTTTTTAAGTTCCCACGCACTCTTGTTTTTCATCCTTTTTGTGTATTTGAACCTTTCAGACTGTAAAACTTGAGGTCCATCTTTTTATCTTGAGAACAACTAAGGGACTCATACTCAGCTATTACAGAATAATAAAATGCACGCTTAAGCCCCAGAACAAAAAAAAAAAAAATCATCATATACACTATCAGTCAAAAGTTTGGGGTTAATTACAAAAAAAAAAAAAATAAATAAATAAATAAATATTAAGAAAATAATTCTGCTTGTCAGGGTGGCATTTATTAAATGTAAAAAATTGATAAATATTTATAAAAATGTATTAAAACTTATTGTATGTAGTTTCAAATAAAATTATTACTATAGTCATTATTCCTTTTATTACTATTACCATTAATAATAATAATAATAATAATAATAATAATGATAAAAAAATAAAAATAATAATAATATTAATAATATTAATAATAATAATAATAATAATAATAATAATAATAATAATAATAATAGAGTCCATTCTGAATGATCATGTGATTCTGATGACTGAAGTAATAAAGTAAAAAATTCATCTTTAAAATCACTGGAATAAATTCTTAAATTAAATGATAAACTATTTTTCAGCAGTTATTTCATAGTGCAATAACATTTCACTATTTTACAATTTGTACAGTATTTTTTATTAAATAAATGCAACATTGGTAAGCAGGAGAAGCTTACTTTAACGCATTTTAAAAATCCAACTGTCCCCAAAAATTTTGACCAGTAACCTTATCATATTGTCATATATTAATATATATATATAATTTTATAATTTTTTTATTTTTTATTTTTTTGCAGAATACACTTGTTTTCCAAAGGACAAAGTAAGCTAAATTGAAATTCAAAAAGTTTTTACCTTTGACTCCTACACTGTAAAAATATGATATAATCAATTTAATAATTATTCTGATTTACTTAATCATGTTTTACCATTTTCTAAGTTACACAAACTGACTGTTTAAAGTCAGTTTAATATAATATAAGTTCAATGGACGCACAAGGTTAATTTGATTCAGCTTAAAAATCTAAGGCTACCAGGATGGCTTTTTTTTTTTACAGTACAGTGCCTTGTATTTACTTCTAAAGCCTCAGTGAGGCTTTAACGGTTCAGTGTTAGGAATCTCACCATTGGTGACCGGTGGTATTTTAGTAGGAGGAGTAGTTTTCAGGACTTTCTCACATTTCTCGCATTTGTTGCTACTGCATTTATAACCATCCTCACATGTACACTCAGCATCACCTGTTGTCGTACAGGTCCTCTTATACCTCATATCTGAAAAAAAAAAAAAAACATAATAGTAAAAAAAGTTATAAGGAGCAAAACAGTTAAAATGTCAAAACATAATAATAATAATAATAATAATAATAATTAATTTCACATAAGAAAAACCCTTTCATTCATTTTCTTTTTTGCGTAGTCCCATTATTGATCTGGGGTCACCACAGCGGAATGAACCACCAACTTATCCAGCATATGTTTTTCGCAGTGGATGCCCTTCCAGCCACAGAAAACTCTCATTCACTTTTCTATTCACATGCATACACTATGGCCAATTTAGCTTATTAAATTCACCTATAGCACGTGTCGGTGTGAGATGATTTTATTGATGATTTTATGTGTTTATTTTATTCAGAAAGTAGCTAAAAAGTGAAATAAGAAATGTATATTTACATTTCTTTAAATCCAATGTTTAAAGTCTGAAGTAAACAGACTTAAACAACAGAAATTTGTTGGGCTCAGAACAAAGCAAACCCTATTACATAAAAGTCCCTGTGACATGTGTAAGCACAGTCATTTCACCAAAACGGTAATAAAGCAGTAAACTTTTTTTTTTTTTTGCTGACTCACAATTAGATTCTAACACCAGCTCAAGATATTTACTTTTGATTTCTGCTGATCTATGTTTATCACGAGACCTGTTTGGACTGCACATGTAACCTATAATATGAGCTAAAGTATTCTTAGCACAGGATACTCAGAATCACTCACACCAAATTGAGGATCAGTACTGCTTATCACCAGGACAGGATAATGGTTTGACTTATCTATGCAGCTGGCCTACCTCTGGTCAATGGAGATTAATGCTGGTCTGGTGGTTTAGTGGGGAGTGAAAATAATCAGTACATCTAAATGCTTTTATTTTGTTGTTCATTTTTTACTTCTGACAAATATTACGCTTCTACACTGTGAAAATATAAAAAATATCAATTAGTCCTCACAGCATATGTTTTTAGGTCATTGTAACTTTTTAACTAAGTTAATTATGTTCTAACTTAATTTAATAAGTTATTTAAGGTGTTAAGTCAGCTTAACATAATATAAGTTCAATAGACTCGTAAGGTTAGTTTGATTTAGCTTATTAATTTAAGACAAGCAGGATGTTTTACAGTGTAATTCTTATTCAGTTGTCAGATTGAAGATATTTATCAGCTCATTTGCATATCAAAACATCTCATACGTTTTCTTCCATTCAAAATAATAAATTCCACCCCTCAGGTACCCTTTTTTTCCAGAGCTACACATGTATTTTTAGTATTTGATGTCCCATGTCATGTTTGTTACAAAAGATTCTCAGACCCCCACCTACAGTCCCTTCGTACTAAAAACCCACCAAGATCTGCTAAAGGGGAAGCACCCGTCTTGTTTACTGTCAAGTTTGGTGTTTCTAGTTCATGACTTTTCATACTGATTCATCAGAAGATTAAGAACATTTCTAAATGTATCACTGTAAGAACACCAGTCATCATCAAGAAATGGAGGGTACGTACGTTCTTTGGTGCATTTTGTGCAAGGAGAGCAATATTTATATTTAATATTATATTCATTTGTAAAGAAGCCATTTCCGCACGGCTTGCACTGGGTATCTCGTGAGCTTGTTCCACATTTCTCATCCATGAACTGTCCTGTAAAAACACACACAACAGGGGAGAAGCATAAATAGAGAGGTGTAAAGTAACAAATTACAAATACTCAAACTACTGTAATTGAGCAGCTTTTCTCAAGAATTGTTATTTACAAAGTAGTTTTAAAAATTTTTACTTTTACTTTTCCTTCAGTACATCTTAAGTGCTGTATCGGTACTATTTATTTTTCGTTTATTCCTGTATGTGGATTAGAAAATTAGTCCAATAAGATCGCACACAGTAGGTAAATCGCACCATATGAACTACCTCAAGACATGGGTGCTTTATATTTGCACCAAACTGTTTGGAAGCATTAAAAGTGTCCAAGAAGATGTTCAAAATCTTTACATGCAATGACCCAGAGACTGTTAACATGCAAAAATGATGGATGTTTACTGCATGAAGAGTGAAATGGCCTTAAACACCCAGCAGGCACAAGACTTCAACAGTGACATTATATGACGTTATACTCCAACGTCGAGGGGACGTTGCATTTTGTTTGGAAATGAAAATCGGGTTGACGTCAGAACCCAACATCAGGCTGAATTCAATGTCCAGCGTCCAACCTAAAATGAATCAAATATCAACATCTAATAATGTTATAGCTTGACGTTGTGTGGACGTAACCACTATGAAGTCTATCAGACGTTGAATTTTGTTTGCCACACCTGATGAATAAATGTTAGTATTTGACATCAATGTGACGTTGGTTTAAGGTGTTGGATTGATGTTGATTTTTGGTCACTTTCTAACACAATCAAAAATCAACCAAATATCAACACCATTTGACGTTGTTATCAGACAACGTTGTCCTTCGACACTGGCTAGACATTGAATTTTGGCCACCTGACATCACGTACAAAATCTACAAAATATTAATGTCTTATGACATTGTGTGTCTGCTGGGCAATTTCACAGCATAACACTCACTACTCTTGAGTACTTTTGAAAGGGCTACTTTTTACTCATACTTTGAGTAGTATTCACAGCAGATACATTTATTCTACTTGCACTACATTTTTAGACAAGTAATGGTACTTTTACTTAAGCAGGATTTTTCAGTACTCTTTTCACCACTGCATAAATATGATGAGATGCTTGAGACTGCTGCTTATCGAACTAACTGATAACATTTATGGTTGTGGCATTCATCGCTGACTGGTTTGAGAGTTTACCAGGATGAGTTCAGAGAACAAGTCATCCTCATACGAGAAACTTGATGTGTCATTTGAAGACCTAAGTAAATGTCATCAAACCATAAAACAGAGCCATGAAATATTCTAACATAAGGTAATTCGTTTTGATATGCTGAAATGATGAAACATTTTAAAAATGTCTTGTTTTAGTCTGCACAAAGAGTCAATACTTTCCATTAAAAATGTTTGAAAAATAAGATTGCTTATCATATTTGAGATTTTCCTCCTTTATCATTCATGTTTAAGTTTCAGAAACATTTGATTAAACTTGTCTGCATTTAACCCCAGTTACAGTAACTTCATGAGTAATCTTAACTGAGCTTAGATCTTGTTAAGTTATTTAAAATAAGCCAAACACAAGCAGAGTTGAGTCAGTTCACAGTGATGTGGAATCTGATTTTATTTACCTGGTTTACATTTTTTGCAGCACTGCTGATTCTCAGCATACTCGGTTCTTTCGTTGCACTTCAACGATTGGTCGGCAGAAAGGACATGTGATGTGAGCAGGACAATACAGAGCAGTGTAAGCATCTTAAAAGGGACAATAAGAAATGTGTGAATGATTAGAATGACACGACACCTGCAATGACTTTAAATGTCAGGAATGTAAAGAGTAGACATGTATGTACTACTGTTACTTTTGCTTGTTATAATAATTGCTCATTTTACATTTGTTTAAGATAGATAGATAGATAGATAGATAGATAGATAGATAGATAGATAGATAGATAGATAGATAGATAGATAGATAGATAGACAGATATCGGTTTATTTTATGGCTATTTGCTTTAAAATGAACATTTATTCATTCTCTTTACTTTGGTTCATTTCCTTTTCTTTAATGAACAATGCGTAAATAATTAATAATGTTTTTTTTGTTTTTGTTTTTTTTGTCCATTTGCATCTCTTCACAAAAGTGAATAAACTTAATCAGGGGTCCAACGATTAACATTTTGTCAGTAAACCCCAGACAGATCTGGGCACGCTGACCTAGTTACCTGCATTTAACATCTACATGAGGATGTACTTACGTAAACTACATGATACATTTTAACTGAATTGCTAGTTTACCAAACATGTTAAAAGACATAGCCTTTAAATAAAAAGAAAAAATATGCCAGATTAAAGACTTACCTTGAAATTGTGTTGAAGATGGGAGAGAAGAAGAGAGATGTGAGCTAGTCGGCCCCTCTAAAGGTTTGAAGATGAGGGGGACAACAGTTCAGCATTAAAGAAATGCCAGATGAGTCATACATAAACTACCATTGAACTAACGGTATGGATGACTCCACCTGTAAGACCCTAAACTGCAGCAGCCTTGCTCTCAGTCTCTCCTCCATCTCTTTTTCCCCTACCCCAAAATGTTCCATTCAAGGTTTCCTGTCTTATTGTAGATAAGTTCCAAAACAAATTCTTTCTTTCTCTCCATTTCTCTGAAAAAATAATACATATATGCGCACAAACATTATAGATGAAAAGGGTCTCGCAATGACTAAAGACATGAGTAAAAAAAAGATTAACTCTTCAACATCCACTCATTTTAAGACAAGAAATTAGTAGCAAGGTCAGTGGTAAAATAACGACCGATTGCACAGAATCCACAAAGTGGCTTCAGTTCAGATTCATAAAAACCACGTCCAGTCAGCATCAAGTCAATTCAATCTACAAGCTTCGATTATTTCTAATTTGGGGTTATCTTCAAAAAGCCTGTCTTATAATAGTCTGCTTTCTCCCCCCTTACTCATGCTCGTGAGTTGTGAATTTACTGGTTTTATTCAGAGGAAGTGATAGCACAAAGAGTGAAATATCATGCCCTTTAAGTAGTTTATAGATTAGACATGCAAACACCACACGTGCACACACACACACAAGCGCAATTACAGTAAAAGGAGGTCTTACCACAAGGACACTAGAAGTGCGACATCAGCTTATTGAGATGAAATCACTTGCTGTCTGAAGTGGAACGTTGCAAAACTCTTAAAAAGTTTGAGTAAAACAGTTTCCTATCATCAGTGAGGGCCAACTTCGAAGTATTATTGCTCAATTTGAATTTTATTCTATAATAAATCTGTTACAGCCTACAGGGGTAGTGTGCTTTGGTGCTTTTTCTCCTCATATATTTTTTACCACTTTAAAGCAACAGTCAACAGTGAATAATAAGCAATTTGACTTTTGGTTGAGTGCTTGCAAATTGTCACAGGAAACTGATTTTATCTAAACATCTGTCAATATATTCATAAAATTGTAATGTAATAATGTGTATTTATATAGCGCATTTATCATGTTTTGTCATACACCCAAAGCACTTCACAATCATGAGGGGGTCTCTGCACACCATCACCAGTGTGCAGCATCCACAAGGATGATGCGACAGCAGCCACAGGACAACAGCGCCAGTGCACTCACCACACACCAGCTATAGATGGAGCGAAGAGACAGTGATAGAGCAAATTCTGTGGATGGAGAAGATTGGGAGGCCCAATCAAAGGAATTTGGCTAGGACACCGGGGTTATACCCCTACACTTTATGAAAAGTGCCATAGGATTTTTAAAGGGTCACAAAACATCAAAAGATATTTTTTAGCTGTTGACATTCATATGTGTCCCATGCTCCTAAAAACACTATTAAGACACATAATTACACAAAAAAAGTGAAAATTGGTTGTTTGCGTTATTTTGAGCAAATTTATACTTCCGGTTTAAACCGAATGTTTGAAGCTGCGTCACATCCATGAGATCTAAGCGTGTATTCCAGCATGTAGACTGGACGTCTGTACCTGGGAGTGCCTTATTACGTCTCTGAGTATGCTGCATTAATTTATGAGTAAGACTTGGTTTAAACCAATCAGCACGCTCTATTGTGTATGCGGTGCAACTTCATTAATATGCATGACAGCTTCGAAGACTGTTTTTACCTGAAGCAGTGCTCAGAGGGAAGAGAGACGCCACATTGTTTTGCCAAAAGAAATGGGCAAAGAAGAAGAATTGTTTAGCGATATAGGTCGTCAGTGTTGCTTTTATAATGTGCTGCAACAAAGTTTTTTTTTTTCATTTTCCAGCTATGAGAGCGCAAATAGACTCACGTGTGGATCAGTGCACACGACACACGGCAGGAGTATATTTGTACCAAACATTTTTTTACTCAAGAGCTTTTCGCATCAGAAAATTGTAAAATCCAGAATTGCTGCTTGTCTCCTTTTAAATAAGACGCAGCTCCAGTTGGGGTTGATAGTCCTGTCTCTACAGATTTGGCAAGTGTGTGTGAGATCAGTTCCCTTTCTTTGTTCTTTCAAATGGCAAAGTTATAGTTCATTTCCTCAGCAGTACTCTTTCAGTGTTTAAAGACAGACCTTATTCAAAATTATTTTTAAGTTACTTAGTTTAAAGTACGTTAATATCACTACAATATTATGGACTGAAACATCTGCTGTAAATGCTGCTTTCCGAGTGAAAACATGTAAACACTGAAAGCAAACTATTACCGACCTTCGTGTTGAATTTTCACCAGATTTTATGACAGGACACAGCTTTCTGACCTACCAAGTGCATCTGAGTTACAGAGAAATGCAAAGTTTTTTTCTCTTATACGATGTGCGACATCAAATATTTCACTGTCATTAAACACAGTCACTGTCTTTTTCCCCTGCGCCTGTGTGTTTGTTTTTCCTCAATGAAAATTAGCACGTGCCCAAATGGAAACTCACATTTTCATTCAAATCCTTCCCTCTTTTCCCTCCCCTGACACTCCCACCTAAACAGAGCTAAACACCACCAATTTCCTGACTTTTTCCAAACTAGAGGTGTGAAAACACTCTGCTGAAACAGGAGGGTTTAATGGCCCTTTAATGACCACACAGAGTCAGGACCTCGGTTTACGTCTCATCCAAAAGATGGTGCTTACTGACAGTACAGTGTCCCCTTCACTATACTGAGGCATTAGGACTCACACAGACCACAGGTTGAGCACCCCCTGCTAGCTTATCTCACACCACTTCCAACAACAACAACCTAGTTTTCCTATGTGGTCTCCCATCCAGTTACTGACTAGGCTCAGCCCTGCTTAGCTCAAACTTCATGGGAAACAGGTCCAAATAACAGATCTTTAAGACAAGGATGTCAACAATGGAACAACCCTAACTAGAAAGTATAAATACACAAGACATAATTAACTAATGACAAAACAGGGGGGTGAACAAGGGTAAAATTAATGAGTACTAACAAATCGCCAGCCTGAATCCACAAAGTAGGACATGTTTCTGGATTAACATCTATGTTGATCCTGGAACAACATTTTGACCAGCGAATCAGACTATCATTTAAGGTAATTTTAGGCTTATGGTTAGATTTATGCAGTTCTACATGATATTTATCAAACTATTATTTAATGTTGCAGGATCAACAGAGATGCATTAACAAATGGCGGTAAAACAGAACAAAGAATCATAAGGTTAAACAAAAGCACGTGGAACGCATGACATGAAAAAACAGACTCATGACAGGATTTCCTTTTAAATAAATGTTTTTTTAAATATTTATTTCTTACATTTAATGTTATCTCTTGCAGAAGATTTCTGTTATCCTTGATACTCTACACCAAAATACATCCAGATTTAGAAAAGAAACAAATTACAAGACACTTGCAAAATAAACATTTTTAAGATGCTCTTTAAATATTTGTTCAATATTTGCTTTTTTAAAGACTTAAAAAAAACTTGAGCATAACAAATGTGAACGTTATTTTTGTTTTAAACAATAATTCAACATTTTTCATGTGTAGCATTTTTAAATTGCTGTGTATTTTAAACTGATTTTTATTTATTTATTTTTTGGAGAGCCTTAATAAGGTTAGTTGCAGGAAAGAAGATCCAGTTGCAGTGAGGAACCGAACAATGTGTTCATTGACAGAACAAAGCACGGGTTGATATACAAGGGGTGACAAGATCGAAACAATAGAGGCAAGAACACACAGAAAAGCCAGTGGCAAGGTATGACAGCACCAGAGAAAACAGCAAGCGAAGAATAAGAGCAGCAGTGGACAGAACTAGGGCTAGACATGAGCTATAGCAGCATAATAACTCTCCAAACTGTCAGGCCAGGAACTGGACATGACTGGAGCCCTACAAGACACTCAAAAGACAAAATAGGCAGTAACAATAATCCAAAGGAAAAAACAATCAAATATAAATTCTAGTTACAAATGCAACTAAACTGACTTGGGCAAAAGAACAAAGAGAACTGAGAAAAATCCTTCTTTAATTCCAGAACCTTAAACAAAAATAAATTAAAGTCAAAAAGACAACTAAAACTCAAGTAACACAAGACTGGGGCTGACAGAAAGATGAAACAAAAACAGTTACAAGAACAAAAGCTAGACAACGATTAAACACAAAATGCAAAACAAAAGGAAGTAGTACCTACAAACAAAACAAAATACAGACAAGAGAACTAGGAAAAGAATGCAAGACTAGGATACAAATTAAGTGAGGACAATCTCACATGGAACAAACCAGCGGAGGAAAAAAAACACACAGC